GCCCTCACAGCTAACATGAAACTGGCGACAGGTGGGCTTGTTGGCTTTATAAGTTAAAGCCCACACAACAGGACAAAAACGAAATACACGCTCGCCAAGTCGAATGTGTATGCCCAAAGGCTCAGCGCAGATACAAAGTAGGTATTAAGTAAAACTTTTAAACACCACAAAGGCAAACATTAAAAAAACGCTTGAAAGCATTAGTCATGTAGCACTTTGTGAATTTACTGGTCATTAAAGAGCACAGGGGAAACCGTCAGAAAAAAACCAGCCTTTATGTTTTTACCAAAGCACAAAATTAACTAATTGAATTGGAAATATTTAAATTGTAAGCGTAATGCAAGCTCAAACTTCAATTATTTTATATATTTAAATTTACATATGTAAGGGTGTATCTAATAATTGATAGATGATACCGAAAACTAACAGTTTATTGTTGATAGGGCTCATACATCGAAAGCAATAAAGCCTAAACGAAGTAAGCGCTTATATGACAGATAAAATACCAGCGCCACTTCATAGGCTGCGTATACGCAATATCGATTTGAGCAAACAACTGAGTATAGGCGTGTGCCTGTGCTTACGCGCTATCCCACGCTCAAAGGTTTTCTTTTTTTTTTAATATATATGTATATACATATACATATACATAGATATATATATATATATATATATATATATATATTGTGGCTTTGTCGTACATATTGTGTGATTTCGGTTGGCAGATAGCGTTTGACGTAAGAGCAACAGATTTTTTCGGCAACATGTGCCGCAATTTTATTACCGTTCGCTCCAGACAAAAAAGGAAAGAATTTTGCTGTTTATCTGCTGAAAGCATTGGGAGCAAATTGTATGACTGCACGTAACGGAAGTCCAGTCGACACAAATTTCCAATTAAATTTCCGTGTGCATTTAAGCCCATCAAAAAGGTCGGCCACATTAACAGCACAATTAGAAATGCTTTTGTAAAGAGTACTTTTGTTTATAAATTTACAATAAGTATGCACAGGGATAACGAGCTATTACGAATCTTACAATATTTATGGCTTCTTAATTAAAACTAAAAATAACTATATACAGAAAGTATAATGCATCCAATAATGTTTTCAAGTATTATTCTTAAGGAGCCTAGGATAATTATGAGTCTTTTATCCACTGAACAAAAAGTTTGCCTGTTGCCTGTTGCCCGTTGCTAATATTTTTAGCAAGAAAATATAAGCTGCAAGTGAAAGTATTTAAATGTCTAATCTAAAATGAGATCTCTTCTTATGAGATGTTTGGCTTATGGCCAAATTAAAGAATGGGAAGCAGTATCCAAAAAATTAAATACTTCGTTTCTTGTATTTATATTGAATTTGAATTCGAAACAGTAATGTAGCCCTTAACTCGTGCAAAATATATTTTAATCACTGAAATTTAAGAGTAATATTCATCGATTTCATGAAAATCAAATAAGTTGTCGATTATTTAAAAATTAACGGACTCTGTGCATGACACAAAGAAGCTTATGTATTCCATATATTGTGCAACGCTTATATTACACAGGTTTTTATTTAAGTACGGACAGATTTCATATTTACAGAATTACATGGACTCTGTTATTAATTTCGCTCTAGAAATTTCATTTATAATGGACTTTTTTCGCAACATATAAATATGATATATCTCTAAATATTAAGCAAAGTTTGAAGACTTAATTTGAAGACTTTAATTGAATATTTTTTTAAATGTGTAAGTGAGATCAATGATAAAGACTACATTCGTTATATGAGATAAAATCTCAAGAACAGAATTATAATGTGCAAAACTAAGGCAGAATTAACAACTAAAAATAGTTGAGAATTGACGCATTCTGAGAGAGAAATCTGTGTATGAATGCAAGCATTAAAGCTGATTATGTTATGCAATATGTTTTACTCACGTTGCCATGGAGGCAGCCCTGCAATCCCTTATACATTGCAGTTGTGCCTGCGGCGTAATAAACGTTAGAGTAGTCAAGATTCAGGATGAGGGCGGGTCTCAGGTAACTGGGCACAAGAAAGGCAGTGCGACGTGGCTAAGCGAAGGCATATCAATTTACTCATAAATCAGCATTATATAAATAATGAAGAGTGTATAAACTAATTGGATTTGGCGCCTTCTTCATGTTTCTTTATTGACGCAATTGTTGACCCCGACATAAGGTTATTAAGGCCCAGCCACCTAATTATGCCACCAAGTCGTGCCAATTAATTAAATGCGGTTGGCTAGAAAATAGCTGAGGCTTGAGCTATTGACACATGTAGAAGCACAAGCAACAAGTAGAACTACTGACAAACATAATAGCTGTCAATCCCAGACGACTATGAAAATATTACCCAATTCGCGTCACCCAGAGTGTAAGATTCTTGGCCATCGCAAGCTGATTGCTGTCAGTGTTGGTGAATTCTAAGTCCGACATATCAGCATGTAATGTTTGTTATACTTCTAAAGAACGGTTTGTTTCTGTCGTTGTTGGCCTTGTGCCAGTTTGGTACATGCAACATAAAATGCTTGAAATATTACGCCCGGACTATATACAATGGAAATTTTTGCGCGCCAGCCGGATGATGGCCGCCACAGTCGTTGCTGACTTTATATTGCTTTGTATACCAAGCACGCGCCTCACACACCCACTCACACACATGCCCACACATACATGGACACCCACTTAAGCAGTCACAATAATTAACAGCCCTTGACGATTGCAACTTGCTTTTGCTGCTGGTTGTCTCTTTTGGGCTACAAAACATGCCGACGCCGTCGGAACATAAAATAATTGATTTTTCACAGCAATCGACTGACTGACAGGCTTTTGTAATAAGTAAAGAGTATAGTGAAAGCTCAAGGAGCACACAGCTCCGTTGGCCATAGATTCCTTAACCTGACCAAGTTTTAAATGTTTCTCTAACGGAAATAGACCAAGACTGTGTATTTTATATCAAAGCTCTGGCTATAATCAGCCAACAACTTTACAAATTGCAAATATAAAGAGTGAAATTCATCTAAAAGGATTCAATAATTGCAATAAAATATATTTATATTTCTCATATTTCTTTGACTTATGTGTGGGTTTGTGTAGGCTGCATTCACTGTACTGCGTAGTGGAAATTGATTACTCACCGGTCCCAGATTCTCGAAGCCATACTTGTCGGCCAACTTGTGGGCAAAATCATTGTCAACGCCCCGACGGAAGCGCACCAGAAATGAGCTAGTGAAGACAGCATGATTAGGCTGGCCGCCGGTGCCACGGGCAGCAGCCTCCGATTCGGCGATAACCAACGGCAATAACATCGCCAGGGCCAACATTCCGATGCATAGCAGTCGCCATGAAGCAGCAAAGCTCCATGCAGCTGCCACAATAAACATTTCACGCGTTTCGCCTCGCAAGTCGTTTTTCGTGTTCTTTTTTTTCGGCTGCTTTTCTTTGGACTCTATTTGTGCTTCACTTAATAATTGCGACGATGGGGCAACGCTGGCGCCACAAATTCGTGCACACGCTTTTACTGATTGAAGCAGAAGCGGGTGTTTTGGAAGAGGAGTGTCAAAAATAAAGACCGCGCTTCACTAAACACAATTAAAATTCGTACGTTCTTTGTTACTGGCAAATCCTGCAAGGGCCGACAGCAATAGAAACTTGTGCGCTGCTTAGCTGCTTGAGCAATTAAATCTTCGTCGCTGAATTAATATTTTGTTCCTTATATACTTGTTCTCTAAAGACTTTTTGTTGTCTGCGCTGTGTTGCTGTTGCCAGTTGAGCCTTGTTGAGCGCTGCCACGAACTTCGCTTTGGCGTTGCGCGTAGAAAACTGTTTGCCAGTCTCGGCTGTGGACGCCATTATGAATATACGAAAGGCGCCGCACCGTACAAAAGCATTTGATAAAAAGCTTACAAAAAGCTTTATAAGCTCTCGCTCACACCCCTTAACAGTTAGCGCCCACACAGTGCATCTCATTTGTCACTAGTGCTATGCTGCTCGCACGCCCAGCTGCTCCTTCGCTTTGGGCTCAAGCTCTCCGTGTTCACTTCAGTTTTGTTGTTACTTTTGCAGCTTGGTTTGCGCTTTGTAGACGTCACCAATTTTGTTGACCTGCTGCTAATGCCTCCTACCATATTTTGTATTCCCTGTATACCATATTCCTCTCGCTCCTAAGTGACTCTTGTTGCCTATTCTGTTTTGTTTTTTTTTCGACTGCTCGGCTTGTTGCTCGGCTGCGATTGGCTTATGCTGCGCATTGCCAACATATGGCAGCATACTTTATGTTCTAGATTCATTGCATTTTGTAAAAGCCAGTATATACGCACTCATATATATGCACCCATGTATGTATGTCTGTATATTTATACTTACGAGTGGATGTATTTGTGAATTGGTTCTTACGCGAATAATAGCTGAAAAGAGCTTCAACTTTGACCTTAGCCTCAATCAAATGGCGTTTGCCCGAAAGCCCGCATTAAGTCGTTCAAAGAGTTCCAGCTTCTGTCAACGTAAACTGCAGCTTGCTGCCCCTTTCAAAGGTCAGTTATTAACATGCATTTCCACGTAAAATACATTTAATGAACGAAAATGAATAAAGTATAAAAAATCATCAAAATCAGATCAGTGTAGCATCATTTCAAGCATTCGACTATAAACTTATATATTAAAATTATATAAGGACTTGTGATAAGAAAGTAATCAGATTAACACATAAAATTAATGGTAATTGGTTCCTTTTACCAACTAAAACTTGCATTTTATTCACTTTGTCATTGATTTTTTTATAATCTGCATTCTAATCAGCTTTCGCAATAAGAGTGGGGCACCTGACATTAATCAGATAAGCATTAATTGCTCTATCATGTGCATTGGTCCTTTTCCAATGGCACCACTTTCGCAAATCTCTAATCTCGAACATATGGTGCGCATCCTGTAAGCACGCCGTAAGCGATGCAATTAGTTCGATAGCAATTCAGCAACTATAAATTAAAATTAACTTTTAATTGAGCTTCAGTTCTAATTACATAAGTATCTTAAGGCTATATGGATTAAGTTAACGTATACATGTACAATGACAAAAAAAAAAAGAATGAAAAAGGCGGGCGAAACTTTTTGCGCATCACATTCGGTACTGATAGATGGGAAGCCGTTGGACCATTTTATTGTGGGCGTAAGCACATTGTCTAAGGCTTTACTGCCGTCTGCCAAAGAGATTGCTCCTTGCTAAAAGTACATATACACATATACACATTAGAAATGGATTTGTTATAGAAAAGCTGCAGCATTTACCATTCGATGTAGCCGGGGAGAGAGCATGGCTGCTGACATGACGTTTAATACGTGGCGTATCGCTAGAGGAAGCAGTAGAGATTGTATTTGTGGTAACGACACAATCGGCTGCCTTACTAGGCATTGACTTATACCGTTGCAAAGAGGTACGCGACTTTTTGGGCTGCGTTGCCTCAAGCATGGCCTCGTCGAGAGCGATAAACCAATCCTCAGTTTCGCTCTCATCCTCCAGAAACTTCATATAGAAGGAACTCTGTTTCTCATTATTTACCTTGGAATGACTCGTGGGCGTGGTAGCAGCCGGCGCTATGTTCGGCTTCACCAACTTTGACTCCAATTGCTGTGAGGCTTCTAGCAAAAAGCAATCTGTGTCAGAGTCATTAAGAAAATCTATCAATGCAGGGTCCGCAACAGCTTGGGTTGCAGTTTTTTTGGAGATATTTGTTGCAGCAGTTTCTGTTGCTTCTGGCGCTGCTATTTGTTGATCCAACTGTCTGTGCAGTTTGTCGCAACGCTCCCTGAGCAGCTCGTGGTCACGTATTTGCTGCGCCCGCCATTGTCTGTTATCCAACTGTTTGCGCTTGTGCTCATTGACGGCATCTGCACGCACCTGTTTACGTCTATCCCTCCGCTTGCACGCATTTGGTCCAAACTCTTCCGAATCAAAGCCGCTGTCTGAAGTAATGTTTACGTTATCACGACGACCATTGTTATCGCACTGCCAGCGCCAGCTGACTTCCGGGCTGCCGGTGACTAAAGTCTGCGAAAACAAGCAACTGGGCGAAAGGCTGTTCTGCTGCGAGAAATCCAAGCTGTCGTCTAGTGTATGAATCTTTTTGTTAGGCGGCGTGCTCTCCACATTATGGGAAATCCTCACACTTGGCGAACAAGGAGAACCTCTATCGTTAGCAGCTTCATGAGTTGCGCTGGCGCAAACGCGACTCTGTGGAGAGGCTGAAATTGAAATATTCATATATTCCACTTGTTACTTAACAAATAAGCATTTTCGACATACCACTGTGTCGCTTGTGCAGTAATCTGTTGCTGAGCGTAAGCGACCGTCTTTTGTTTATAATTGGTGTGTTTTCCATTTAAACTTATTTCGTTCATTAATTTAAAACATTGACTGGCTGCGTGATAAAATGCGCTCAATTCATTCGTTTTTGGTATTTTTTGGTGCTAGGAAATAATTTGATATCGATAGGCACGGTTGACTTAAATCAGCTATCGATGAATGACGATTTTTTAAAATACAATGGCGCCCATATGTATATATGTATTTCAGATTCAAAATTTACTGTCATTTCACGTTTAAAACGATGTATAATACATATTTCAATGTTATTAAGAAACTACTAGCTTCCTTTTTTCTTCACCAGTCATTAGTTTCACTTGAGAATTATAGTAAATGATATACATATAACTGCTATACATTGAGTTGGCTTAGCATTTTCAGTATCAAACTAAGTTAGCTGTCAGAAAGCTGATTGTTATATCACTACACAACTATTACCGCCAATTTACTTATTTATAAAATTTTAAGTAGACAATTCTATATTCACACAATTTATTAACAATATTTTATATATGAGAAATTCATGATTCATAATAATCAATACATGTTATTACTTATTCAATTGATGCAAATCAGTGGCTCAGCATTTAACCAATTTATATCCTTTATATATTTCAATTAATCAACACAATTTATGAGGTTTGCAACTTAGAAATAATTTTGCTTTAAGATATTAATATAATTTTAAATGCACTTTGGATAGGTGACTAAAGACTTACATATATTTATTGTCCACTAAACATATTCAAAGTACATCAATTAAAAATTTGTGCTTCACTTTCCATCTTTTTTACTAGAATTTCAAACGGCCTACAAGCCTTTGTTATACCAAACTGTATCCAAGTCAGGACGCTCTTTCTTTATCCGGTCACGTACTTCTGATTCGAGCCTATCCACTTTGATAGCAGCACGCTGACTGAAGAACGCACAGCCCAAGGGTGTGGCAAAGATCAGAATAAAGCCACAGAAGACCGTCTGAATTGGGGCATTGGATCTGGGGTATTTCTTCAAAAAACCATTCTTCTCCAATTTGTTCATCAATAGGGGCGTCATTGCTATCAGCAAAAGTTACTGTAGATATATGTTTATATTAAGTAAATCTGAGACTTACTCATTCCAGGAATAGCCATAGAAATTCGACTGATCACAACAGCTGAAATTCCAACCATGGCGGCCTTTTTCGAAATTCCTACTTCCTTGTTCTTTTCATCCAAAAGAACGACTCCATTGCGTAGCTCCCTGTTGAATACAATAGTTTTAATTGTGATATTCGTTATCCTCAATGGGATATAAATAATTATATATCTGTAATGTTTACTTACTGCATTCGCATACAAGGGATATTGATGCAATTTGCGGCTGCCACTGCGACCAGTGGCACCAAGCGCCCGAAAATAGGGCTCATATTTTTGGTGGCCCGGTTGAGCGAGAGTGCTGTAGCCAAAGCACCGCCCGTTGCTAGGCAGTAGGAGGTAAGCAGTTGTCTGTGTGCATAATAATAATACAAATCGGGTACTATAAAGCAATCTTTCCTAGAGAAACCTACGATTGACTAATTGGAGAAGTGCCCGAACGGTTTGTATAGTTGACAATGGCGTTAAATGTTTGATTGAACCACTGCCAGAAGATAACAGCGCGTGTGGTTTTATAGAAGGTCATCATGCCTAAATGAGAGCAACGACAAAATGTAGTTATTTATCAATCAAAGCGCGGAAACGAATAGTTGATGTTCGCAAATTAAAGCGAAACATAGCCAACCTTAAGGGCCGAAGGGGATACTAGCGTATACTTACCGGCAGTTATAAACGTGTTCATAGGCATCTGAGCCGACATCCGTCCCACGATGATCTGCTTCTCACCCGTCTCTGGATGATGCGCCGAGTCATATAGATACTTGGCCTTCCACACCTCGTCGAGAGTTATGCCACTAGGCAATGGTTGGTTGGAGCGATACTTGGTGACTATTTCACGAGCCCTCTGCAGCTGCTCATCGGTGGCGAATAAGTTCAGAGGGTTGGTGACCAAAAAAAAATGCTTAGCACGCCCAATATAGGTGCTCTGATCAAACTTTGGCTTGTCAATATCCACACGAGGTAATCCAGACATGGTTTTAATTTTTATTCGACTGGGCTCCTTGTCTAAAAGATGTTTTTATATGCACCCCGCTGCAAAGATAAGCATTGATATTTTAATTATACTAGATATATTCGCCATAATTCAAAAGAATTGATAACATAATTAATACTATATCTCAGCGCGCTAAGAAATTAAACAAACAGTTGCTGGCCCGCTTATCACTTGTCCGTCTGACCCAGCCTACCGCTAATCTCCGACAAGCTTCATCTACATATGTGGGCATACATATATGAATGTATGCATACATTTATATATGTATGTATACTATGAGAAGTGCTCGTCAGCGATTATGCAGTCAAACAAAATATTAACTGGGTTATATAATTACTGTATAGCAATCATAAATGTGTAATGTTGAAAAATCTATAATGTCATATCGCTATGTGCCGAACACACAGCTGATTTCAGTATTAACAAATTGGGTTCTACGCCCGTCCGACTGGAGAACAGGTTGCGACATCAACACTTACACACACGGCGATTGTATGTTTGCGAGAGTGCGCGCGAGTGTGTTTGGAGATTGCGGTTCTTCAAGTTTTATACGCGAACGCCTTCTACACACACAAACGCACACACACAGTCAAGCACATTCAAGCGTCCCACTTCCTCGCACTTTGGCAGTGAACTTACGACTGAAATGCACGACAAAAACTTCAACGCCGCTGCTGCTACCAGGGAAAGCTGTCGTCAACAAGCTGGTGCTCCAGCAAGCTTTCTACACCGTCTGGCAAAGTAAAAAAGCTGTGTCAAGCTACTTGTAAATCTAAATCTGAATGAAAATGAAAAATTTAGCACCTAAAGTGCTTGAAAAAAACAAAAGCCTACTTGTTAGAGCTTGGCCTTTTTAGTATCGACAGCATATGTACCTAAATATCAAAATCAGAATGAATAGTTTTGCAGATTTAAAGATTTCTTTCATTAATTATTTATTACCTAGTGTATTGAGTCTTTGATAACTAAAAGTATAATGTAAAATAGCACGTTAAAACATTTTTTAAAACAATCATACAATGACCTTTCTATATTCGTAGAGACCAAAAAGCGTATTCAATATTCAGCATTGCAAACATTACTTTCCCCACGCAAATGCCTTCTTCTGTTTTTTGTTTACCTTTCCATTGCCTGAACGTCGCGAGCGAAAGCTTTTTTGTCTGCGCAGCTTATAAGCAGTTGGGCTCGTACGCTTCGAAAGCTTTTAAGGTAGCCGGTTGTACCCTTACCGCATCGTAAGATGTTAGTTAACTTACAAATCACCTTCAATAATTTATGTATGTTTCATTTAATAAAATGTCTTGTATTATTGGTGTATTCCCCCAAATTTATTTTCAACACATTGATATTTTATTGTACATTTCACGCTTGATTATTGAAATACATACTCATATGTACCCTTGTCTGATAAAACTCAATTAATTACAATTTTCCAGGTACACTGACCGGGGGTGTGAAAAATCGAAATCGGGTAAAATGATGTCTCTAATAGTGAAAGAGGTATAATCATCAGAGAAATTATACAAAGATCGCCGTTATCTTCTCTAGAAATATGAACGGCAATTCGGGCAATTGCGACTTGTTATAAACTATTAGTTTATGACTATTAGTTTATGAATACCATTACCACTATGAATTACAGACCAGACAACTCGAAACTCATTTATGGATTTGCGTGTGTATATTCATTTATTTTTTAAATCCATTAATAGACTAAACATAACATCAACAGTTGTGTATATTAGCAATAGTTATTATGTTTCTTCTTTCACCAATAAATGTAATTATTTGTTTACCATTAAATATTTGTCATATCAATAAATAAATATTTATGCATATGTTTGAAGAATCTTTTAAGTTTTTGCAAACAATTATAGTCATAGTTAACACAAATGATAGATGTATATAATAGCATAGATGACATTTATTGTACATTCTTGTAGGTCTGTATACATGTATGTCTGTACATATATACTATATCTAGGCGTATATGTATATATATATATATATGTTTAAAGCGTGTGTGTGTGAGTGTCTGTCGGTGTGTGTGTGTTTCTGTTTGCCTTTTCAGTAAAGTCCTTTAACGTTTCCACTTCAATATATTTAGTTATATAGGTATAACTATTATTATGCATACATCATTCATATACAACATTTGCACAAAGTAACACGAAATATAATATATTTGATTTGATTCGATTTAGTTTGAAGATATTTAAAAGTAAATTGAATAAAATATTTCATATCTGGGTAAATACATTTTTAACGATATTTCAACTGTATTTTTGCTGCTGTTAAATTTAAATTGAGCTCCTAATTGAAATAGTTAATTGAAATACTTAACGATCTTGCCAACAATTGAAGTTTAGTTCTTGGTATATGTTAATTTGAAGAGTGATGTAATAGCTACGTATGTATAGGGTTTCTTGCATATCAATCAAACATCCTTTCCAAACATGGATTGCCTATTTACTTGTAACCCATCAAACAATTAACAACTTTACGTTTGATAATATGCTTCTAGTATATGTGGGTATTGTTAAAGTATATATGTATGTATGTATGTATATGTATGTATCTATTTATGAGTTGTATTATGTATATTTGTAGCTGACAATATTTCATTGAGTGGGGAAGAACATTGTACTTGAGAAATGCCCATAGAAGCATTTTTTTTAAATATATATAGTTTTCTTTTGTTTCTTTAAATCGGAGAATGTATGTATGTATGTAAGTATGTATAACAATTATGTATGCATATGTTTGTGGGAGTTTACAATAGGCGATTGTTCGTACATTTATTGTTTTGGTTTAACTTTAGTTTTATGATTTCAAGTAGTTTCAAGGAAGTTTTCAATATTCTTTTGATTTTGAGGATTTTAGTTACTCCTATTTCACATCGGCGCCATCAACATATCTAGACAACTTAGCGCTCTCTGTGTCGTAAATGTATGTATATATATAGTGCATACACTATATATAACATGTATATCAGCATATTTATGTATACTGTTTGTTTCTTTATGTTTTGTATAAATAGGTTTATATAACTACATAAATGTTTTGAGCGCGTCCATTTTATATAGCAGTGCAGTGCTCACTATGTAAGTTCGTTTTGTATCTTTATGTTATATATATATATATATATATATATATATATAAGTGTGTGTGTGTGTTTATATGTATATGTGGGCTGTATGTGTATGTATGTATGTCTTATACTTTGCTTGCAGCTAAATTATCATACTGATTCAGTGTCATATCATGTCTACCATTATCAGGGATTAATACGACTGCCACTGCTTATGTGTGGGCTAACAAATCTACCAAAGCATAAACCTAAATGTTTAACCAGTCGCTAAACGTGGCCTCCCGGCCACTAGCGAATCGTGTTTAATAGTTTGTTGCAAACACCTCTCAAATCCAAACAATAGTTTATAATAAAGTATAAAAATATTTAACATTATTATTAACGTATGTGGTTTAATACCATTAAATGCACCACCGTTAAACAGCATTTAAGAACGATATCATTTAGTTTAAGTTTATGGTTTTTTATCATGTAATAACAAAATATGTCCATTCAGGAAGTAATTGAATAATTTTAACATATATATCTTTAAATGATATTCATGATGAACTGATTTAGTAATCAAGCGAAAAATAAGATGAAAGAAAATCTACCTAAAATTAAAGCTTCATTTATTATAAATATTTCATCGTTTTCCTATGCTTTTTAAAAAATATATAAAAATATCCTGGTTATGATTTAATATAGATAGGTACGAGTCCTTGAAATTAGGCCGTTGACTGTGATCTCTGTCATATGTTGTCTGTAAACGTGTTTTCCTCTTATGCATTTCGCTGTTGAACGGTGGTAGTTAGCTTTAAATTATATATATATATTCGAGTTAAGTTCGACATTTAACAATTTATACACAGAGGGCTAAAATATATTATTATCGCTTTATTGAGTGCGTTGTTTGGTTAACTATTATACAATTTTTGATTTTTGTATATTTTTTGCTTATCATTTGTTTGGTTTTGCTTTGCTTTCACTGATATATTTATTTAACGAAAACTAAAATTAAAAATAATAATAATGAGAATGTTTAATATACTGGTAAAAATTCCACAAATATGTATAAATATGCGCGTGTACGTAATTTGCACCAAAAATTGACTATAAATTTACATTATTAGAATTATAAATTTTGTATACATATAGAATTCATATATTTACAGTAAAAAATTGACGCCATTAATTGCTATTAAGTTAAATACGTTTGAAATGTTAAATACATATATTTGTTTATATTTATGTGTTTACTATTGGCATCATTTTAACATTGTGGTCGTATGTGTCGAAACTCAGGACGTTTATTTATCAATATTGTAAATTTAATCGTAAAAAATATGTTATTTTTTATTTTCGTTTGTGTTAATGCTTTAAAATATACCTACATAAATATAAATATTTATTTATTTATCTAGTTTCTTTTAAATAGATTTATATGGTGTAAGTATAACAATAAAATAGCAACAGAATAAAACAAATACAAATGCGTTGGCAAAGAATGCTCGACTAGGAAATGCTCTATACAAAGTTTGAATGGCGGAATATATCAAACAGGTCGATAAAAATATGTCTAAAAGCCTTGTTTAGGCTGTTGAAATTACATTTAGATAATAACGGGTAAAAAATCAGTTAATTTTAAACTTAAAACATGCATTAAAATTCGTTGACATTTTCAAATTGGCTATGTAATATTATTACGTAATTTTGCGATTCGTTTAATCTAAGATTACCAAAATTTCAGTTATGCAGCAGCAGCCAAAAAGATTTAAAATATGAAATTTAGAGAAACTTACAAACCAAACAACATTTTCATTTTAGTTAACTTAAAAATCGATGCCTATATTTTAACATATTTTTTAAATCTGTGTGAGTGTATTTTCCATCTGAAATTTTGCGTTGTTCCTTTTCTATTATTTAGTTGTTGTTCCATTAAACCGTGGCAACAAATATCATTTGTTGTTTTGCATTTTAATTGTACTAAATATTATACAATTCTCCCTATCTAAAGTGCTATATGCATATAATTGTTGTATATGGAGTTGGATTCATTTTTATCTTTTTCCTAAATATGCATCTTTTAAATATATATCGTCCATAGATATATTTCATATTTTTCTTTCATTTTGGTGCATGTAAAAATCCATGTAAAACGCACATTTGAGTAATATTTACTTGAAATAAGAATATATATATTTATATATATATATATATATTTGTATTCATGTTCTTACTGGGACACCTTGTTGTTGCTATAGTTATGCTTATTGAATTGATGTATATATGGCTATATATATACCAATTGTATATATATTTTTAGGTATTTGTATATGGTACTCGTAATTGGTGCTGGTGATGCGAATCTAAGTGCGTCTGTTATTTATGGTTATACGATCATATTGTATTCAGTTGTTTAGTACGTGCCTGTAAAAGGAAGTATTTCAAGTATGGAAAATAACGTTATGCGACGTGGTACTCACTGGCACACTCTGGTGGGTTCATGTAACCAAAGACGTTCATCTCATAGAGCGACGCCAGCGTTATGAAAAATAGATACCAGAGCATGAGTATTATGCCCAAACGCTTATCCAACTTCCAGCCATTCAAATGCGTTGAGAGTATCAAGAAGACGACGGTGGAGAATAGCGAGAGGGTGGAATAAGCCAGACCTATAAGTAAGAGCTCTCAGTGCATTACTATACTGAAGTCTTTGTATGCAGCTGCGGCTACACCATCTAAAGTCGACTACAACACAGTTAAAGACACATGCTAGGCATACCACAAAACTGAACAGCATTACGACGACGTTTTCAAGCACTAACTTAGAGAGAGAGAGAGAGAGAGAAGGAATATCATACATACCCTTGGATATAACATTGACGTGCGAGCCGGGTTTGATAATGGCCGTTTGTATGAACCATGGAAGACCTAAGCACACTAGTATATCAAAGACATTAGAGCCAATTGCATTCGATACGGCCATGTCGCCGTAGCCCTCTTTGATAACGGCTATTGAGCTTAGGGCATCAGGCACAGAAACGCCAGCAGCTACGAACGTCAGACCCATCACTGTATCTGGTATAGCCAGCGTGGACCCAATCACTGTTATCATCCAGACCATAAAGTAAGAGTAAAAGGAGATCCAAATCATCGACAGTAGAAACGTGAACGGATACCAGTTGCGATACTGTTGCTGTCGGCAATCCGGCATGGTCTTCTTGCATAGATAGTGTATCGGATAAACCACATACCAGGCAATTAGGGCTGGCTGGCCGCCCTCAGTGGGTCGCAGCAATGGATCGGGGCGTGGCTCACGTTGTTTATCTGTCGACTTGTAGTATTCAATGCCAGCCGGATTGGCCGCAACCTGAGTTTTGGCCGATGTGGCTGCAGCTTCCCCTGTAACCACAGATTCCGGCTGATCGGCATTGTAGGCCATATTTTCCTGACCCTGGTTAAACTGATTCATGCCCCAATCGTCTACCGGCGGCTGGCTTGGCCTAGCACTGACAGTCATGGCCTGCGGCTGAGTCTGACCCTCCTCTCCCCAAGCAGCATTCGGATCCCAGCTGGCATTAGGATCGTTGTAGCTCTGATAGTCGCCCTGTGTCGATGGCTGTGGTTGCTGCTGAGGACTTGTTTCGGTTTCCTTTGGCTGTGTGCCCTGAGTGTATGAGCTTTCGGGCACATTCTTATAAGTAACCAATGCCGATTGCTCCTCCTTGCTAGGCAGCTTAAAAGGCAGATTTAAGCTCAGAGCCCAGCGTTCCAGCTCCGTATTGAAATGCAAGGCAATGCAGTAGCCCACATAGCACAGTAGCATTACCACAGATTCGAACTGTAAAATATCAAGATTTCAACTATATAATATACATATGTATATATTTTCCAATTTTGGCTGATATATTGGATTTCAAAATAATTAACGAAATCAATGGCCTTGGATTTGCCATTCCAAATGGGTGGACTATTTAATTTATGCCTGAAAAATTGTTCATTCTAGTTTTAATATTTTTGAAGATATAGTTTCCTTAGTGAAATATTTTTTGATCAATCTATAAAAGAAGTGATATTAGAAGGATCTTCAAACTAAATAGAAGAACGTAAACAAAATTTCTTTAAAACAATGTTTTGATCCTAGGGAAGTGAATAATTAAATGTGTATCGAGATCTACGAGTTCATACAGACAGATAGACGGATATATATAATAAAAATGTGTCCGTTACATATACTTGCCACACAACTAGTGTACCCCTATTTGCCTATTTAAATAGATGTAAAACTTAGTTCATATAAACAAGCTTTAAGTTTTCGTCTTATGTCTTGATTCACGCTGCTATATTATGTACTTACGCAAGAGATGACATCATTAAAGATGATTATCAGCATGACCAATATGGACACGCAGTAGAAGAAGCAATCGCGGACAAGTGGCCACCAGTTCAGCTGGCAAACGGTGCCGGAACACAGGGCACAAACCGAAATAACAAACATGATGTTGAACACCGCCGAGCCAATGACACCACTGATGCCAATGTCGTCCTTGGCAAAGAAAACACCAATGACAACGGTGGCCAGCTCTGGAGCTGAGCTGCCGGCGGCCATAAATGTGGCGCCCGCCACATCCGGAGACAGCTTAAGCTCTGCAAAGACTCATATTGATGAAGGACTTAAAGTGATATATTAGTTTTGAGCATACCCTCGCACAGCCTATCCAGACTGGCCACAAAGTACTCGTCACACACAATGGCCAGACCAAAGAACGTATAGATGGCCACAAGAATGTGTAAGATGAGTCCACCATGTTGTCGCGCCCATTTGTTCATTAACGGCTGTGGAAACTGCTCGATAGCCGGCGGCGTACAATTTTCTCGTTTGGCTCGCCAAGTCGGCACAGCTCCATGTATGGGAGTGGCCATGGTTGTCTCCGGCATTGCATCACTCCTCTAATAAAAATAATGCGAATAAGTACTCCAACTTGAAAGAATCATCCGCACTGCTTACCTCGCTAGTCTGAAGAGAATTGGGTGTGGTAATCTCATTGTCAGTCTCAAAGTCAGCATCGGCTGCTTCAGGCAGGCTGCCCACGTCAAGTGGAATATCCGGAGTATCCTTTTCATCGCCCTTCGCCGAGTAAACGCTTACGCAGTAGTAGATTAGGAATAATAATCCCATGTTCCACATGCGCGCGCGGCGGGAGCGATGGCGTACGATCTAAGTGGAAAGTGTTAAGCAAATGCATTAGATGTACATTCAGGTCTTATTTAACTTGTTGTTGTTGCTGCTGCCGCTTAATGCTTGAGGCAGCTTAAGCGCCCCACTAAGTACACAAATCGTGACAAAGAGAGAGCTGCAGAGACAATGAAGCTTATGTGCTCCACATAGATGTCTCAACGCCTGCAGGTGTTGTCTCTGAAATGGTTTAAGGTAGACACACACACACATACGCAGACTGTTGGAAGACTAATACATGTACTTAATGCTTGGTTAACAAGCAGTGAGCACGCTGCGCTGCCAATTGCTCAACTATTAAATACCCAATATTTAGCGTTGGCTGAATAGGTTAATTCAACTGTTAATCTATAACAGATATATAACATCTAGACGTATTCATTTTAATTAATTAGTTAGCAAATATATTTAAATATGTAAGATTTATAACACATATGTTAAAAGTTGATTTTCTCACTGAATAATGAATATATACCGAAAGCCTCAAGCAGTTGCAACTAAGATATGTATATATGTTTATGTTAAAATTAATTATAATTAGTTTATATTGACCTAAATACTCTCAACAGCTTATCACGTTGAAACTTCATTATTCAATATTAATTTTGTAGTTTTAGAGTTTTGTAATGAAAATGATTATAATCTGTTGCTAATACCAATTGAACTACCCAATATTGTACTGGATATTAAGAAATGGCTTCCGTGCCAGAACATTATATCTGAGTATGTATGTTTACCGTTGGTTTGTGCGCGTGGCAAGCTTATAAGGTTTATTGCCACAACGTCTGCCTCAAGCTAGTTTTGTTGCAGGCATCAACTAACTTGAAATTTGATACAAACTACGCCTGGGCTGGGCCTGGGCCACTCTGAGATAAGAGCGAACGGAAAACAATAATAATAAGTGCAACGACTGCAGCCGGCTTTTGTGGCTAACTAAGTGGGCCCGTTCTGTTCGCTGTCACGTCGTCTAACAATACGAGTGCTCATAGCCGTGGCTTATATCGCATCTAGTTTTTAACTGGCATGAAATCTAATATTACAATAATATTACCGTGACAGCTGTTGCAGTTGTTGACAATTGCAGCAGCAAGTTTTCAATAAATTTGAGTCGTCACCGAATACCTAAAGGGGCTTAATCTAACCCGAATGAGTGCTAGACGTGGGACTAATAACAACTGACAATTAGTCAGACCTACTTATCCATAATTAAATGAAAGCTTAATTATAAAAAAAAAATTTAATTAAACTAAAGGCAACGGATTCAGCTGTGCTAAACTAGTCTGCGGCCTCATTGTCGCAGCACCTATTTTAGACTTCGATTTGTTTACCCAACCAATTAAATGAGCACATACACATACTCATATAAATACATACGTATATACGCACATTCACAATCTGTGACACGTTTGCCAGCCGATAAGCGGACAGTAAACAAATCCAAGAGCTGACGCTGGTTAGAAATGGAGCATGGAGAAGGCAGTTTGCACCGCCAACAACTGCTGCATACTTTTCGAGACGCCACACACATGCATAGATATATATATATATATTTATATATATATATGGCTATACTTGTACATATGACATCATGTGCTTTCCCTCAAACTTCCTTGACAGAATGCGCAAATCGTGACACAAACTACATAAGCGACAACAACAATAAATGTCATTGAATAAATTTGTGTAGCATTACAGCCATTTGTTGGCTATTGACAACTGATGTTGTTGTTGTTGTTTCTGTTGTTGCTGCTGCTGGTCTGATAACAGAGTAAATTTGACGCAAATGGCAGAAGCACAGAGTGCGAGAGAGCAAATGAAAGTTTTCACCACAAAAGACGAGCTCGAATTCAACCGCCGGGGTGAGAGTAGCAAAAGGAACAGCGTCGTTGGCGGCTCCGTCAGCTGCGGCGTCTGGCTGGCTGGGTGGCTGACTGCTGGCTGGCTGCTGGCTTACAAAGCCACCACTCTACGAGTTACGGTGGCTGGGTAGCCCAGCTCCACAGGCAAAACATACAGCGCCTTGTGGGCCACTCGGTCATGCCGCACAATATCGATTTGCTGGCCGACCCGCCGCCGTCGCCTCTGACAGCCCACGAGCCTTAACTCATACGCGCCGTTGGCTAAGGTTGCAAATGCTGCTGCTGGTGTGGGAGTCAGTATGTGTGTGCGAGCTTGTTAGTTACAGCTACAGTTACAGTTATAGCTGGCGTGGATGCTGCAGCAACATCTTATAAAAATAAATGGCTCTGCTAGCTAAATACTCATGTAGATGTAGATGTAAATGGAAATGATGGAAGGAAGCATCTACCAGGCTGCTGGCTTTGTAGTTGCCGTTGGGTGTCCGGGCTTACATCATATTTTTCTTAACGTCTCAAAACAATAGATAGCAGCCCCATCCCCACGGTCGAAAGCAAAAGTGATGAAGGCTACTAGCTTGTGTTTGAACCAGAAAACTTGAAAAGCGACAAACAATTGAAGGCTGTGGCAAAAATGCAATTGACTTGGTCTTGATATTGTAAACAATTTGTACATGGCATTTGTCGTTTACACCCATACACACAAATACGCACAGGCAAACACACACATACACATACACATGCGTAACAAAAATTTCATAATCGTTTTTCATTATTAATTACCATTTTTGACGTAATTTAAATGTTCAGTATAGCACTTTCAATAGTAAATTGAATATTTAGTCAGATGATGTGAAAATTTATTCACTCCTAGTTAGTTATTAATAGCTTGCAGTGTGGGTGTTGCGGAAAACAGATACAGAAGAAAACAGTTGCATTGGAAAACATCCAACGATATTGGCAAAGACGACTTTTTGGCCCACGGAGCACCTCCAATCACATTACTTATATTCCATTATTGTTTTCTCGGTTTTGGATTATTTAAGAACCATGCATATGAATTTATTTCGTTCGCGCACTACATAAAAGTTTGGCGTGTGTGTGTGGCTTGGATGTCACGGAGTGTACTGTGTGTGTATGTGTATGAGTGGGTGGTGTATGTGATTCGAAACGCGCACGAACAAGCAAAGCTTTGCTTTCGCCTGGCGAGACGGTTAAACGCAAACTGACAGCAGCAGCAATGTCGCAAAGTCTGCACCGTACTTTGATACACCAACTGCACTGAGAAAAATGACTGCAACTTCTGACAAAACAAACATATTCTTGTAAAAGCAAAAAAATACAAAGCCTTGACTTATAATTACTTATAATTTATAATTTTGCTGTTTAAGCCCTGGACCGTACAAAAATTAACTTGCAATTGTAAAAAAATAAAGCATTTAAAACTTAATTAACTTCAATGAATTCAGTTTATATCAGAGCAGGTTTTAACTATATTGCTTAGTTATCAAAAGAAACATAATTTTCAACTCCATTTTTTTCAATGTACGTAAAAGCGACGGCGGAAAATTCACCACAGCCGAGCGTCGAACAGACACGACTCACGAGTGCCAGGAAATGTGAAAGTTTTGCGCTCAGGAACTCGATGAGTGTGCGTGCGCGTTTATGGCCGTCACAGCGCCATCTAGGGGTAGCTTTTAAATTCGTTTGCGAAAGCTAATTAAAATTGATTTCACTAAAGTGATTCTGTAGCGGACTTCAAGCCTTGACTCGAAAATTACATTAGGCACAAACAATGGCCCGCTAGCCATATATATACAAATATATAAATCAAATGGTATCTATATATATTTGTTTGATTATTATTTATATGCGCCCTCCCCCGGCCGCAACGTCAAGTGTCGCCTGTGTTGCCTTTGCAAACAACAAACAAACGTTTGCGTTCAACGTCTCAGTTGTCGGAGTCGCAGCATTTGAAGTGCCGGCAAAGGACATCAATTGTCAGGATTTTGCCACATTATCCTTTACATTGCGGCCGAACAAACGAGCCGGCTCGTCTGAAGTGCAACGTGACATTGCTACATGCAGCACTCTCAGATCTCGCCGCCAAGAGGCCTTGCAAAAACAATGCAGGACTCTTGGCAAGTATAAAAAATTGCTCACACAATGACGAATTTACCTGTTGACACCTTCCAAAATAGACAATTCGGCTAATTAATAATGGGAGCCGTGGCTCTCAAACCACTCACAGATCTGACGCTTGCCTGCCATTCAATTGTAACAGGTTAGAATTATATGGCTCAATTACACTGCTACAAGAAAAACTGGTAGCTGGGAGAGTAGAAGGTGCAAAATTTGAAGAAAATTCCACAGAATTGCAGCGGCTGCATTGCTTTGAATTGACAGTCCAGTAAAGTGGAATTATGACTTTGATTCACCAATCAGAAAAGTAAATGAGCGGCTTAGCTGTGTATTGTGAATCTAACAACAATCCGGGTCCATGGGAAAAGTCAATTGCTACTATAAATAGGTCTTAAATCCAAGCTGATTGCCTTTTGCTAGTGTCCGATTAGTAAATCGATTGTCTTTTTAATTTTAGAAACTCAAATAAGAATTGTAATTATTGTAATAGGGAGAAAAATATAGCAAGTACAGTTAAGCTACTAAATATATTTAATTTTTAAATTTTAGCTTTACATCCAAAAGTGCTCTTACTGAAATAAATTAAGAACTCCTGAACTGCCACGTTCCCAGGAGGCGTATCTTAAAAATGTTACCACTTTTTTCACTTAACAGAAATAACGAAAAAAATGCATGTAACTTTCCTTAAGCATATCCCTATAAAAGTCTATCGTAATGCATGATCAAGCAGCATATCTAAATGATTGGGACACCCCTGTCAGCGGTACAGATCCTAGCTGATATTCTGAATGAATCCTTGAGCTCTGTAGGTGGCATCGCACATGCTTCACGCACGCCACTTTCTTAATGGGCAACTGAATTTCAAATTAGTTTATAAACTAAATACAAATATTGTAACTAAAATGCATTAGCTAATCAATTTCATACGCTTAATTTGAGCGGCGACCGAGCGTCTGTGGCAGGACGAGCACCAACCAGCCACCTTGGCGACCGCATTTAAGGACATGACGTTTAGGATTGTCAGAGCCGCGTTGCCCGTTCGTCTGGGGCATACAAAGAAGGCCAGGATAACAATAGAGCAACTCGACTTCGCTCTTGACGCAACTGCCCAAATTGGCTCGCTCATCATTATTTATATGCCACTTTCTATTGAATTGAATAGATGGCAAGACAAAACGCTCAAAGGGAAGGTGTCGAGGCAAAGGTGTCGGGACAGCCCAGCTACAGATGCGGCTGCCTGGCGCAATTCAAGGCGAAGACGTGGCACAGTTTTCCCTGTCTTTTGACTATTGTTTCATTGTTTGCTGTTTCGCTGGGTCGAGTGGCGAGTGGTTTGGCCGTGGTTTATAGCGGCGGTGGCGATGGTTGTGGCGGTGAAGTAATCCTTTGTCTAAGGCGACTCAATAAAGAACTTATTGTGGACAAATTTCGACATTTTTCAAGCGATGTTTTCGGCTTGTCTCTATGTATCCGTGTCTCAGTTTGTGTGCAGTTCCATTTCCAGCTTCAAAGGACATGCTTGACTTTTAACAGGAATCAATTTATTTTATGCGAAATAATCGTGTTGATGGCTGCGTGCTCGCCCCTTTTTTCAGCCGCTTGACGTTTACGTTTTGGGCCTCTGGCTTTTGGGTTTATTCACACACCAACCCCAGAGGGCCAACCCTCCGAAAGTCCAATACCGAAACGAGGGCTGTGACTGGGTTTGGCCTGGTGGAGAGCCTATGTGAAGAAGGGTGGAAGTAATTTTAATTTATGATGTCAATTTATAGTAGTTTTTGCGGTTTCACAACATTTTACATAAGACCAGAGATAGAGCAAAGTGTGATGCGATCGAGTGTCATTTCAGCGATACAAACATAACCGTATATGTAGATAGCTATATATTTTTATATATATGTATATATATGTGGATCAAGTTTTTATTGTAACACAATTGTATTATAGTCATCCATCAAATAATTGGCATGCACTCATTACTATTGCAGAGAATTATTTTTTATATAGAAAAAAAAACTGTGATTTTTTGTAAAAATTTGATGCGTATTTTTATTATAGAAAATAGCACGAGCGGAACATATCAGCGATCAATCAAATCTACTGCAATTTCCCCCGCAATATTTAGTGGACGCAACAATTGCAGAGCCCTCAGTGCCCATGGGCAGAGAGATGGCAAAGTTGACAAGGTTGAGCCAAGGATGCGTGTACCTACGTCAGACACCTACTACAGCAGCACTTCGAATGCAGCTCATCATCATTCATGCCAGTTGGCGATTCATGCATTCATTCATTCATCACACGCACACGCACAAGCAGACACTTGACAGCTGACCAGAACCCTGGGCTGTTAGGTAAACATGAATTTATCGGTTATTATTAGCACCTTTCCATCATAATTGCACCATAGGAGTCACAGACCCTGGTGCAATTCAGCTCTGGCCAATTGCCATCTCCTACCCGTTGCCTCAAACAGCAGCATTCTTTGCCTTAGCCAACAAAGTCCGGCCGCACTCCATTGATATGTGTGAAAAGGCTTTTGCTAGCAACATTTGCCAATCCTCGGTAGCATTGTGGGCATTCTACAGAATTCTGGAAGACCATTGTCCCATTTTTCAACATTTCAATTTGCATTTGACTTTGGTACTAGCCATGGGCGAGCCGAGCCACTTATGTCTTTGGCTCGTTTCACAACAGGAAAGCAGAAAGACACTGCCGCCGTTTGTCTTAGGCGGATCAAGATACGGCCCGGTCAATGGATAGGCTTTTGGGCCAAGGGAGCGTGCCGCAACTGACGGTTGTTACAGATTTTCACGCATTATTTGCGCTCGCTTGCACAAATCTTGCGAATCCTAAGACGATTTCCTCTTGTAAATCTGTCATAAGCCTTAAAGCGTGTCACACGGCAAATTGAAGGAAGTTTCTTGAGTTCTTGAAAAAATATATATTTTTAGATCTAAGGTTGAGAGAAACTATTGTAACTATTACAATTTATATATATAAATTTAAATTTATCTATCCACCTTTTAAATTTTACTGTACTGCAAACCTTATTCTTAATATAGTTATATCTCATCCAATGAATATTCTGAAAAGTCAAACAAATTAAAATATTCTACATATTCAATATTTTCTGTATTTATTTATTTATTTTTCTTTTCATTAAATAAGAAAGAGTTCAATTTAATACAATCTTTCTCCAATATATATTCATATATATCTGTAATATATTCATGTACTTATATATAATTCCATTAGCCAGCTCGATTTGAATATGCCTTTACATAAAACTGGACTTATTCTGGGCAGGTAAGTCTAGTCAGTAGTCGATATGCCACTGTGACATTGTTTGAAGGCAAATGTTCATCAATAATAGAACGATTACCCGCCGGGGTCAACACTTTACACACGCACGCATACATATATATACAGCCATATATATAGATACTCTTACCCGCATAGGTATTCAAATTGAAAAACGCTACAGGACATGCACACAAAGAGATGCGATCACTGGACATTGGGCATCGGTAGCCGAAGAGCATTTGAATGAACTGAATTACAAGCGGATTATTGGATTTGAGGTTAAGTGCATTTTCAGCGACTGTAACTGTAACGAAAATGAAAATGTTCTCCTAGATATTCACAACTGTTTTGACTTTGGAAATGTTTTGGCCCTAAGCTGTGCCCGCAAAGCCGACTACGACAAAAAATCGCGCACAAAACGCGCGCGGTAGGCGGGGCGAGCACAAACGCCATTGCTCGCAGGGCAGCTGCTCACACAAATACACATACAGACATACACACATATGGCTTGCAAGCAGAGCGAGTGTACGAGTGTGCGAGTGAGAGAGTGCTCCCAGCTGACTGCTGCCTATGGCATGCCCCAAGAAGAGAGAAGGGTCGTGTGCCAAGGATATCGAGCCAGACGCTCGTTTTTAGTAGGAAAACTAACCAGCATTGATCATATTTGAAGTGGATGCGAGTTAAACGCGCGTGTTGGCTGTCGTCTGCCATTGTCCAAGGGCGCAAGAGGAATGCTTGCTGCGTGGCCCTCGGGCTGGGGTTGGTTGTTCTTTCTATGTGTCCTTTAATGGACCAACGGCCGCCGCGGTTTTTGTGGCGTTGTGTCACGGGATAAATATTAATCGATATCTCTGTATAGTGTGTGTATGTGCGTGTGCGTTTGTGTAGTGTGTGTGTGTGTGTGCGTACGGGCTTGTGACTTGGGGTGTAGTATCCTTTTGTTGCCTGGCACAGAGCCGCACGACCATTGTGTATCCTGTGTAGTAAAATGAACAGCATCCGCGCAGTACCTTGGCGCGTTCGCCGCTCGAATTAGTCGAGTGCATTCGCTTGAAAAACTAATTTGATTTATGTCTTCGCGTTAAAGTGCGGTTTTCCGTTGTGGACGCTGCCTCTTCCAGCCGCCATTCACACCCATAACTTGGTCAGCTCATCCAAGCACCCGGCTGCTTTTGCAACGCCCCGCCAAGCGCCTCTTGATGCCTTTTGAGCCAATTCCAGGCGAAGGCTTTGTGTAATTAATGTTAGTGCGTTGCAAATTTTTATGCCAAACCAATTGCTATATTATATCTAGAGTTACAGTAAATCTGAAAAAAGTTAATCAGATTGTTATACAGTAAAACATATATACATTCGTCTTATAACTTATAATCATAGTATCACTAACACCACGTCAAATATAGCCAAGAATTACTGTATTTTATTAACCATAAATAAAACCATAATGTTATTAATTTGACTTTACAGTTACTTATTCTAGATCTGAGCCGTTTAATATTTTTAATACTATTGCTGAAAAATACTTTGGTTTCATTCTTTTTTTAAAAGAGTTTTTAAAACAAATAAAAATTTTTTTCAACATGAATAAAACTTTATAAAATTTTAGAATTTGTAGACTTATTTAAAATTACAATTGGATCGATTTATTTACGCGGAATAAGCTTAACCCAAAATCCAGTCTTGGGTGTCAATTGGAAGCCGGAGGTACTAAGGACCAATGGAATGCAGGTTTTCTTAGCTGGCGCAATACGAAACTCGCGTAGCAAATAGTAGATCACAGCTTTGGCCTCAAGTAATGCAAATCGAGATCCTAAACAAGAGTTATTTGAAAACTACATTATCAGATACCATTGGCTCAGAGGCTTTTACTCACCGATGCAATTGCGTGGTCCTACCCCGAAGGGAAAATACGTATTTGGCTGAATTTTATCCTTGTTCTCCTCACTGAAACGTTCGGGATCAAATTTAGTGGGGTTTTCAAAGTACTTAGGATCACGGTGAAAGCCACTTGTGGGTAGCCAAACAGCATCTCCCTTTTTGATCTCAACACTTTTTCCATCGATCTCATATGTGATGTCCTTGTTGCACTCGCGATCAACAGCGATGGCAGCAGGCCACTTTCGCAGAACCTCCGAAACCACTTGATCCATATACTTCATGCCCATTATAGCCTCATATGTCAACTGGCCTCCCTCCAGATTACTGTCGACTTGTGCCACCTCTTCGTACAGCTTTGCCTGCACATCCTCATTCTCCAAGAGCTCGTGTGCAGTGAAGCACATAAGCACCGCTGACGTCTCAAAGCCCGCAAAGAAAAAGACAAAGCATTGGGCAACTATATCACGATCGCTCCAATCACGAACTTGGCCGGATTTCGGCTTATCTGAGTTGATCAAGCCGCGTGCCTCCATCAGCATATTGATCATATCTGGGCGTACAATATTGTTCTCCTGTCGATATTTCATGGCATCCAGCACCAGACGCACAAAGTATTCTGTGCTTTTCTTATCAAAGAGTGAGATTTTTAATGCCTGCAAAGGAAATAATATAGATAATTAATTACTAAGTCAAACTACGCAACAAATGTTCCACTACCTTAAACACTTTCTGTGCAGTTGAGAACAGCAAAAACTTGAGGTTCATCAGCGCCGTGAAGGTAGTCAACTTCTTTCCCATCTTATAGAATTGGTTCTCCCGATCTTTGAATGAGTTCACCTGCAATCCAAATGCTGTTGAGGCTATGACATCGTTTGTGAATCGGGTACAGTAGTCTTTCATGTCCAACTCCATTCCATTTTCTGGGATGTCATCGCGCTTCAGGCACTCAACTGCCTCTTTGGCAACTATATCCATCAGCTGGAACATTTGACGCATTTTGCTGCCCGTAAAGGCAGGACTCAACGTGCTGCGCATGTCCTTCCAACGCGCATCTCGCATGGAGAATAAGGAGCTACCAAAAAGATTATCCATGTCATGAGGATTCTCATTGTCGACGCCAAAGATATTTCGATGATTAATAAAGTGATCGAAATCCTTAATTGTGATCTGTTTAATTAGCTCCGGATCGCGTACCATAAACAGCGGCTTGCGCTGCTCAAATATGCCAAAAAGCCTATAAATAGAAATAATTTAATAATTAATAGAAACGCCATTGACCGATAAGAAGATTTAAAATAGCTGATAATTTGTAAGGCAACCGCTCTTATCTTCAGTTAAGAAGCGCAATTATTTTATTCTAAGCAAGTCAAGTGAACGAGTCTATGAACCAGTGCGAATTGTATAACATGTAATGCACAAAAGCATTTTACCTTTAATGGGACTCCAACTCGATATTGAGTATCAAACATATTTGTCATTTACCTCTACCCCTGTTCGCTTATATACTAGGTAAGGTTATCATAATGGAAATAAAAACTGCTTTTGATATGGTCAATCGTACTTATTGCCTCTATACATTACATCTTCAGCTTTATAGATAACAAGTTGGGCGCTATCTTAAGTACCTCAACAAATTGTTTCTGCATGTTTAACTTATCAAAATAGCAAATTGTATTAAATATCACAAGCAACAACACAATGTTTGTGTATTGCAAGTGAATTCATGCAAAAAATTGTTGTTTAAAACGAAAAAATGCAATCTATATGCATCCACATATCTCTAATATGGTGAACACAATACGAATTATCAGTACAAATTCATTACAGACCTACAGCTGTAATCCACTTTTCAATTTTACTGAAGCATGTTAAGTCTATTATTGAAAAACTTTCTGATTCTGTGTCTAGCTATATTTATATAAATGTGACCGAAGCTCTTTAGGACGAAAAAATATTATTCGAAATAAGATACAATTATTATAGTATTACACACTCTGGCAAATTGGTTATATGTATATGCAATATTACTAATTAAGGCCAGTTTTAGTTTATTTTGCAAAGAAAACGATGATCACTTATCGTCGATTGAGCTTTAGCATTGAACTTTTATATTATAATACGCAGTTGGCACTTTTATATCATTTAAAGTGATCAATGTACTTACTTGCCATCGCCCATATTGTATAGATCGGTAACCAGATCAAACATAGATCGCTGACGCAAAAACATTCGGCCCATGTTGCCAACAAATGGATACGGCTTCTTATATGGTATGCCTCGCTCCTTGAAGAAATTATAGTTGGCTGTGGCCCAGCGGTAAACCAGCAGCAGGACTACAACAACAAACGCCAAAAACTCTACAAGCATCTTGAAAATTCACCGATCTATACCACCCGGTCAGTGGAACATCAAATTTAAAACTAAGCAACGCTACGACCGCAGGGCACAGAAAACAACTTATTGAGTCCCACACGAATAGGCGAGTCAAGTGCGAGCTTTTGCTCTGAGCTTTAGCTTTTAGCTATACAAATGACGAAATTGCGCTGGCACTTGATGAATTAATTGAACGTACATACATACATGCATGCATGTACATACATAAATATGCGTGCAGGGCTTAGATGAGACTAATTCATATTTGTATGTAATGTACACATAACCACAATCAACAGAAACAACGCATCTAATAAATAATAAAGCTGTTACTGTGACTATGAACTTGACTGTCACTCGAACAAATGTTGGTGTAGGTGTGGCCAGCGAGAGTAAACAAAGCAAATATGACCATGCTTAACTAGTAAATACCCTATAAACAGACTTATGGCGTTTGATGTATATTTCTGGCAATGGAATGTAGTAAAAGGCGAGATGTTTTTTAGCCAAATTAAGAGAAGCCAGAGTAATATAGTATTTGATTTTTCTTTTGATCTTGAACCAGTCTGAAGTGTTTACTTGCTTACGATAAGCTCGTTGATTACTAAAATGTACTAAATATGAAGGGCATTTGCTTAAAAATGTATGACGAAAGAATAGAATGTGAATAGGTAAATTACGAATTTTGTTCACGTTTCTAAATAATTAGAATCCTGATTGGCAGTCAAACAGCGTTATTATTTGCTTCAACGCTTTTCTCATTAACCACATAGCTAATGGTTTGCTACAAAACTTTCATCCATATTATAGAATTTGTTCTCTTTCGTGTTCATCGTACACCAAATGTTGTTTATAAGTAATCTTGAAATGTAGAAATCTTTTATGCTCAGCTCAACTGGAACATCTTTAATAATGATCTCATTCTGTATCGGCAATCATCATCTGAAACCATAAGTGTAAATTAATGCCCCATAAGTTAGCAACTATAGATATATATAACTATAAAATAACTTTAAGACTATTTTATATACTTTTATTGTTTTGCAGTTCGTTCCTATACCACACAAGGTGAAAATGATAACGATGCAATAAGTGCACTTGTTGCCCAATGAATTAAAAAGTTTTGCTGAGAAATTTTCTCATGTAATTTGGTAAGCTGATCAGGAAATATGTCTTCTAATTTTATTTTAACGTATCTGATATTGAAACCACTCAAGCTATACGGGAGAAGAAACAGACTAACAGCCAAACCGGCAAGTGGCTGTAACTATATGCAATATGAAATGTAATGTGGAAACCAGTTAGTTAGCAGCTCTAGATATATAGCCTAAGTACGCTGTTAGCCAACTAATTTACGTGATAAAATCCTGGGTTAAATGGACACAAAATTAAGTGTCTTATACGAAATCATTACGTTCCAGTGCTTTTTATGATTGATAGCCTTAGTCTTAACACATAATGTATAAAACACACAATGTATAATGTATAAATCGAAAAAACTAATTGACTAACTAACTAAACGACTACTGAATCAAGCAGTTCAGTTCATTGTGTGTGCTTTTATGCATCGCTTTGGCATTTCGGATAAAATTATGAAATTGTTCAAACATCTAAAAAGCTCATACATCAGATATATACACAAGTTCACATATGTTTGATGAACGTATCAGCGATAAAAACATATGTTTGTGTGTGCATGTATGTATAAATAAAATAATCTATTAATAAACCAGTTACTGCGACTGTGAACTTGACTGAGCGTACGGAGTGTAAACAATGTTGTTACAGATCACAATGCTTAACGAGTAGATACCCATTCAACAGATGTAAGATACACAAAATATTTTTATTTTTTATTCGGGCTAACCTTTAATTATATTTTTATTAACTTGTTTGTGCTAAATTATTAAATGAATTCAATTAATATAATATATATATATATATAATATATATATATAAATATAATATATATATAATAATTAATTAATTATTAAATTAATTTTTCCAAAAATCGTCTATAAATAAATGTATTTTAAACAACGCTTAACTGAGTCTCATTTAAATATAATCATTAGCAGCAAGAAATCTATATCCAGCTTCCATCTGAAATACTGATTTAGTCTTCACTTATTAAGCTATAGCTTCTTGAAATCCAAGCCCCCTAATACACTCACATGAATCAGACGCTAATCACTAGTTGAACCCGATTACAATTGATCTACGTATCAAGATCACACCTAGTCCATTACTTGAAATGATCAATTTAAGCTATTATAGGCGCTCAAGTACCTAACGTACTCGTACCTAATCCAACAGAGCCGGATGTATTCTGATCTATGTGCGGACTGTGATTATGAAACTAAATCTTAAGCAACTCGCACGATCCATCAAGGCCACAGCTAGATCTATGCTTGGCTTATCTGTGTTTAGCGGAACGCGACGATAAGCACGTTAGCATAAGTTCCATTCGAAGTTTGGTTAGGATGTGTTTTCCCCTGACCACAACGTCGCCATCTAATGAGGCGCCTAGCACATATCCATATGTTGGTTTCTGCAACATTGCTGTGCTCACGTGAGCTGGCGAAATTTCCTCATTAATCAAAGTAGGAATATGACGCCATATCCTTATTTGCTCTAATTATGGCCAGGTAGAGATAATAGAACTTCGCCGATATATTCCATGAATGAAACATCAACTGGCTGGAAATGTGCCATATTTAATTATTCTATAAAATCTTCTATGAACATTTATGAGCACTTCATTGTTTTAGGTAGGTGGTACTTTATGACGCCAATAGTGATGCCGACGCCGACGTTGAAGCCGAATCCGTACCGAATGCGTGGAAAATCCCGCGCTCGTTATTTGACAAATATGCAGGGAAAGTCCCAAGCCCGTTGCCAATCCAAGGCGGCTGCTTGCCTAAGTGCCAGCCTACACAAATAAGCTCATGGATTTTTTATGGTCGTCCGCGCCCGGCAGCCCACCTACAAGCACCTACCTGGCTCAGTTTCCTGCCGAAGCGCATTTATGAATGAGTTCGATCTCTGGTATGGCACTGGTACCGCGAGTCGTGAATGAATCTCTATGGCGCATTGAAATTTTATTGCAGGTACTAAAAATCACCTATGCCGCCAGCCCTAAAACCATACCTAACCCGATGCAACGCAGCGCAGCCCAGCAAAAATGCACCCGTTGCATTCATTAGCGTCGAGAGGAACAAAGCAGTTGCACTTAATCCTAATGATTTCCCTTTTGTTTCTAATGACGCAGCGGTAGGCTTATGTGCGACCGAAGCCAACCACGGCTAAAACTACTGAACTATCGATTAATGACAGCATCAACTTAAAATGATTCCCTAAGAAAATTGGAAGACAAAACTAAAAATGTGTATACTTAACATATGTGTATGAAGCAAATATATTTACTTCCAAGAAGCGCGCGCATTTTCTCTTCTAATATGATACTACTAAAACATTTAACAAATTTCATTATTACTTTTTATGTTGACTTACAATGAGCATTTCATTTAGATTCTGCTAAGCAGCTTTCGAGAAATTATATTTATATAGCTTATTCTGTGGACATTTTCCATTTTACGTATTGAAAATCTTTTTAAAAAGTATTCAAAAAATGACTCCGAAATAAGACACGCATATAATATATAATATAGTAAAACAATTCATTTCCCATGTCCATATCAAAAAAAAATTCTAAAGTTACTCTATTTAATATAGTTTAAGTCTTTCTGCACAACAAAATTCTACATTTTTATTAGCAACAAAACACTAAAGCTCATATATGTAAACCCAAACCACGTTACATTATCTGATTCTTGAAAACTATAGCAAGGCATTAGTCTTACCAACACCCCATATCTTTTAATATATCTACTTTAGTCCTTATCTCCGTGCAGCGGGGAGCAAACGCCTACCAGTGGCCACAAAGTGCCCAACAATATATTCATGTCATCCCTTGGAGCAGCCCACAATCCACAAAGATAAACCTAAAGCAACTGTACCATTTTACATGCTCAAACCTTAATTCAAACCCCAAAGAATGTGCTGTGAATATTGAAGCTACAATTTGCTCCGTTTACAAATCTCAGCATATATAGCCGCACTCAGCGCCTGATACACATTTTGCATATTTAAAGCACAACAGTTGCCACAAAGCGCGCACAAGACGGGACCAACCCCCAGAAAGAAGCACTTAATTCAATAATAAATTGCCACCACAAAAGGGCAGCTAAAGCAAGCCCCTTGATTTTTCGGGCAAGCCCGAATCAACCCAGCCAGAGCCCACAGATAACCAAGTTACAGCTCAGCTTTGTTTAGCTCACGGCGGGCCAGGGGGCCAGAGCCCAGCCCTGTTTGCGCCTCAAAGACAACAACTTTTATCAAATTGCGTATCAGGGGGTTTGTCAGGAGGTAAGCGTAAAATTCATAATCATGAATGCTTCGCTTAAACTTCCACCCCGTTGGGAGTCAAAAAAAGAAAAAAGAGAGGCAAACAGATACCTCTATTCATACATATACATATATATGTACTTAATAAATAGTAGCGCATCGCTGGGAATATACACATTAAAAGCGAAAGTCAAGGAAGCTGCCATTGCGAGAGCCGATTAGATTTGCTGGCATGAAAACTAAGCAGAGCGAACTCAAATTCATGAGTACATTATGTACAAGCCTGTGTGTCTCTGTGTGTGTGAGTATGTGTGTATTTGAGTCTGCGTGAGCGGCCATTGTTGTGTGGTGCGAAAAACAACCCTGAAGCGTGCCTCTCGCTCACACAGACAGATAGACAGCAAATCAATGAATGAAGCAGGCAACGGATGTTCTCAATGTGTGCGTGCGTGTGTGTATGTGTGTGCGTGTGCGTGCGTAGGTAGGCCGCTAGGTAGGCCTACTGCCAGGACCTTAACGTTCAATGAAAAATCTCTTTAAATTGTGCGCCGCTCGGCTGAGAGAGTTCAGTTCGAGTTGAGATCTTGCAACGCTCACACACCGCTCCGCCTACGCAATTGCACGCCAAGTGTTCCTCCGCCCAAGTAAAACAGTGATTTTCAAATAAGAATAAAAAACGATTATGTCGACAATTAACATGCATCCACCGCAAACGTACTCGCGCCTGTTCCGTCCCTGGGATACGCAACGCCAAATGCCAGCGCCACCCGTCAGGGCTGTAAAACGTGAACGTGAACCCGAAACAGTGACCATCAAAACTGAGCTGCCCAGCAGCAGTAGCTGCTGCTATGGTCAGGATTGCGACCGAGAGTCCTCCTCATCCTCGTCAAGCAGCAGCAGAAGTAGTAGCAGTAAATCCAGCTATGAGGATGGGCTAAACAACAGCTACACACGTACTTCGACTCCTCTGCTAGATGCCACGCCACAGCCAGCATTTCCAGCCACCTCAGCTGTGACGCCACAGCAGTTGTCGCCGCAGCCAGCGCCTTTCATGCCCGCCAACGACTTGTACTATGCCGCAGCAGCCGCCGCCGCGGCTGCCGCTGCCAACACTCCAGCCGCAGCTGCCTTTGGCATGGACCCATTTACGCTTGGTCTGATGGAACAGGAGTACGCTCGTGTCATGGCCGAGGATGCTCAACTAAAGGCGCTGAATGCTCGCAAGCAGCGACCAAAGAAATTCAAATGCCCACACTGCGATGTGGCCTTCTCCAATAATGGCCAGCTTAAGGGACACATCCGTATTCATACCGGTAAGTTGTAAATAACAGAATGATCTCTAGCTTGATTTACTAACTTGTTTTTATTATTATATGATTACAGGTGAACGACCATTCAAATGCGACGTAGAAACATGCGGCAAGACCTTCACTCGCAACGAGGAGCTGACCCGGCATAAGCGCATTCATTCTGGTCTGCGTCCGTATCCATGCAGCGCCTGTGGCAAGAAGTTCGGACGGCGCGACCATCTAAAGAAGCACATGAAGACGCATATGCCGCAAGAGCGCCAGCTGGGACCGGCCATCTTTATGCCCATGTATCCATATTTATATGGCTACTAAACAGTTGGCCCCAGCTACAGCTACAATTACAACTACAGCTTCAGCGATCTGTGAAGCGCTTGCACGCTTTAAAAACGCAACAACTATCTACCAACAAACCAACCAAGCAACAACAATAACAAAATACTCAATGCCGGCCAATACTCTATCTTTGTGCATCTACCTCAGACGTACCTGGCGCATCAAGGCGCAGTAAAACACACTACCTCAGCACCAATCTATGCTAACAATCATAAAGACGACACAGATATCCATGACGATATATGCAAATATTGAGCTATTTATTTTATAATGAATATTTACATTTCCACTACGTGACGTGAGGTAGAAGCGTCGTAAAAACCCACACATGTGTAAATAAATCCTTAAGTGATCCTTTCTCATATGCTAAGCGATTAAGAGTTTTAAGAGACATCTACATTATATATAAGAATATTTTCACATTTTTATATGCTGAATGCGGTTAATAGCAATATACGATTTACATTTAAATACCTAGTTAAATATTCAGAGCTATATTATACGATTTATGTTTACAAAAAAAAAGAAAAACGAATACATAAAATATTTAAAAGACAAACAAATATAATTTATCGTTTAACTTAAGATCCTTGACTTCAAAAGGCAAAAAAAACAATAGGTTTGCGTTGCGTTGCGAATAATGAAAATAATCAGATAAATGTACTTCCATCCATTAAGAGGTGTACATACCTCCATTTTACTATTCGAGCACATACGTATATATTAATTTACAATTTCACGGCCATTTTGGCAGCGCGTTAATGACTGTCACTTCCCACTAACCAGATCATTTGACGAATTATCCACATCATGCCGGCAAAATCAAAGTCAAATTTGCAGTTTGCATTCGTCGGCACATTTGGCGCATCCTTGTCAAAGGGTTAAAACTCACAAGTCATTTTGGCAAAAACTGCGAAAATTCATTCATAAAAATGGCAAAAGAAAACTAGGGAAAATAACCATTAATTCAGGTCAAGTCAAAAGCCCAACTTAAAACCAAATTCTAACTGCAGCCATAACCAATCCATCTATTATAGTAATTGTTATACATGGGTATATATCAAATCTGACTTGATTTGAGATCGAGCGACAAGCGATTCACACAGTTTTCTCACAGTCTGCGGACGAGTCTATTGCAATTGTTCACGTATCCTTGCCATTACTCACACGACAGCTTGCGTCATTCATAAGGACAATGAAAGTGGCCCACCTGAGCAAGTAAGTGCGATAGACACAAAGTCTACTCTGACAACATTTTGGAATTTATATGTACCCGAAGTCCACATTATCAATGTGACTTCTACGTGTGCACAATAGCTGCAATTTTGTTAACCGTAGCAGACCGGTGGGCACTGCCTCTCAACCTTTTCCACAGACAACTAAACAATAGCAATACGGTCGCTTGATAGAGGCGTGCAGGTCCGCATCGCATCTACATCTACCTGTCCCTCCTGGTCAAGTCCTGAGAACATTTTCTGCCAGACATTGCGACGTCTGCGTCGTTGTTGTTGCTACACAGCTACACAAGTGGCACAATGATCTAACTAATAATATGTCCCATTGATTTCTATAATTCTGTTTGCAACAGACACAGCGGCTGCACTTTGAGCACTTGGCCAAACCCAACAAGCAGCAACTAGTTCAAATACTCATTTCTCAAGATGATACGCTTTCCGTCAGCATTTCGAATTGATGTCTTTCGATATTGACATCGTTGTTTGCTAAGTATTGTCCTTTAATTGCAGCCAATTAATTAGAGCACGGGTAAAATTCTTTATTCTGAAGTGTGGGAAGATACTTATATTTTCTATAAGGTATAGGAAAATATAAGATCTATCGATGTCAATCAAATGCACAAATGTTGAAAAATAGCCCACTTTAACATATATTTGTTTATTTGTCACACATATAAGTATGTTAGGAAAACCAAATATAACAAATGCAAACATAACTCATATGTACACAAAAACAGGGCTTTCAGCTTGGTATTATCTCACTTACTCCAATTTGAGCCAATAGCTTCCTAGTGATTAAAGTGTAGAGTAATTGCATAATCAAACAAAATATATTCAGCACGACACTTAATAGTTGATCACTGACGAACTCACACAAAAGGTCAAAGAATTTGTAGTATTTATTGTGGTTAATATTATTTAGAATTTATCATAAAGGTGCGAATTATACGTCTAACTTCTAATAGCATCAGTAGACTTGACAGATAGACTTGAAATACAAAATATATCATTGGCACGCTGAATCTTAATAACACGTATGGACTTATTACTTGCAATTGCTTTAATATAATATTACAAATATATTCGGAAAGCGGCTACAATTCACTACTTAAAATATATAAGTTTAATGTAGAATAATATATATAAACAGAAATTTAATTAATTGCATAGTAAAAAAACAAACCAAAGTTGAGAAAAAATTTGACCTGATTCCAATTACTATTTAGACAGTAATGGTACAAATATTTAAAAGAATAAAATGAACAATGATTAATTTGCCTTAATGACTAAAAACTCGAATCATCATGTTTTGTAATAGGTTGCAAGTTAGCTATTCAACTATTTGTATTTTCAGCCTAGGTCTTCATTACGAAGATCAGACTGGTAAGCTATAACATCAACTGAATAAATTTCCAAATATCATTATCAGTTAATTTAGTAAATAAATTAATTTAACTCATTTAGTAATATTTTCAACTTAAAACAGATCGCGGTTATTGGCTGTTTTATTCATAGCATTTCAACTGGACTTCGCCCAAATCGCTTAACCTTCCTATACTTCATACTTTTGAATCGAACACAAATTATTTAATTATTTATCAATAATTAAAATTATTTTAGCTTACTCCTAATCAACATATTCTCAAATTTGGATTTCAGCTTCAAGAATTTAAACGTAAACGGAGTAAAATCATGAACAGAGAATTCCTATATTATTAAATAAAATATACTTAATGGATTCGGAAATTCAAGTTCTTCTAAAATAAAATAAATATAATATCGTGTACAATTGTGCATAAAGAATTAAATATTTACCGAAATACTTAAAAACTGTACCTTTTTTGCAATTCAATATTTAAATCATGCAAATAAACTTATTTTAAAAGTTTGACTCTTCAGCTAGAGCTAAAACAGCTTTCATAAACTTAAAGAGTGATACTTCAGTTTTATTAAGATGTTAAGGAACTATGCAATCCCTGGCATTTCCCAGGAATTATAATCGAGCCAGAAAATGTAATTTCTGTAAACTATAAAAGTAAACAAGATAGTATTGTTCCAAAACAATATCAGACAAAATCACTTCCTAACAAGAAAGTAGTTTGGCTATCAATAACCAACTGACGTCTTGGAACAATTGCCATGTAGGAGGCACTAGCCTATATGCCATTCATGACCACAAAAAGGCCAAACAAAAGTCATCGGGTGGTCCACAAATTCCGCAACTATATAATTGCCAGTTAGCTGGACCAGAAGACGTTGTGTCTTGTAACTTACTTTCTATCCAGGCCACACAGCGCGTCAGACTGAGAAATTGAAATGTATTTTGTGCCCTAATAGAGAAATATACGGGCCATAATTTCGCAATGCAACAAAAGCAGAGCAATTGAATGGGCAGTGCAAAAAAGGAGCAGTGCATAAAATAAAAAAATGGAGTCGCCGAGTCGATGGGTATAACAGCGTAGAAATGAGATTGCTACCTTTCACAGCGCCAGTCTTGGCCAAGCAGAGTGCGTTGATGGGTTTCAACCCCTCAAAGAACAACCCTCATCCCCTATGCATAAGCACACACACACACACACATACACAGATACAGATACACTCATACACACCCAAGGGCTGGCAGGGGGTACTGACAGTAGTAGTAGCCGCTGTGCCTGTGCGCTGACGTTTTATACAAAGTGTCAGAGGATCCATTTAATTGGAAAATTTATTGGGAAGCAGCAGCAGCGAGGACGACGACGACCTCGGCGCATAGGAATAGGAGACAGCCTGTCTGGCCCTCTTGTTGGCTTTCTTTGACTCGCATGTTTGCGGTTGCTGGAAATACTTTCACAAATCAGAATAGGGGAAGACAGACTAACCCATAAAAAATAAAAATAAAGCAAAGACAAATTCGTGTAAAGAAATGGATTTGTATCGAATACAGGAGTAAAGTACCACAATACAACGCAGTTGCCTAAAATATGCCTCGGAGCTCAACGTGTGTGGCTGGCATGTTGGTAATTCTATTCTGTTCAGCGCTCGTTCCGATTATGAGACTTTCCCGCTAATTATATTTGTACAGGCCACGCTTCCATAGCCAGGCATTGCTCAACATTTCCAGCTACTTATACACAAGCTGCTTGTATTGGCGATTTTCAATCGTATTTTCCAAGTGTTTAGGCTAATCTTAGGCGGAAAAGTGGGTATGTCCCGACAAACGCTAAACGATGCGTTTATCTGCATAAACACTCTTAATAAGTCGATTGTCTGCTGTCTAATCTTCTGCTGCCGACTCATTGCAGCTAATGACCATATCTTTTCATTATCTTACACTGCAAATGTATGCAATTTGGAACCTAATCCTAACGCCGGGACTTGCACAACTCTGCGCAATGTATGAGTAGAGATAGAGATAGCTACATACATATGCATTCACATATGTAAATGTGTGTGGTACATAGAACGAAAAGACTCATATGGTTATTCCACGCACATGGCACAAGGTGAGTCCTAATCTGTTAGGTCAGATAAGCCATACTCAGTCTCTCAAAGATAGTCGTCCGAACAAATAGTAAAGACAGATATGCAAGTTAGCAGTTGATACCTATATGCCGCAAGTCATATAATATTAGGCCCTGACACAACCTTAATTAAAAAGACGTTCATCATTATTATGCAATTGCATTCAAGTCAAACCAAAAATCGACCAAAACAACAACATGCAGCGCCCAGCTGGACAATATGCCAAAAGGTAAACAGTAGGTGGTGCCGGAAGTGCCACAAAATTCAAAACAAATGGCTTTGTCTGTGCTGTTTTCCCATCGCAATGAGCCAACAGACTAATCAAAACTAATGATGACATAATTGGCTCGATTGGGCCAAAGGAAGCAGCCCGAATCTGTCCTGTTTTGTTATGGGCATGAAATCGAATAGAAATAGGAAGTGTTTCTCGCAGCACAAGACAAAGCCACACACAAATTGTCCTTGCAAGGAAACAGCCATCACCCATCAGTCAGGGGTCCTCAGATATACGACAAAACAGTTTGCACAAGCTAAAAAAAAATAAAATTGAAAATAGAGAACAGAAAAAAAGATAATTGATTCGTTTGCAAAATGCAATGCGATGACACTTGGATTTTTATGCCTGCGGTGTGGTCCTGTTCAACAATTAGCTGGAACGGTTTAATTACAATGAGGAAATTGTTGTGACAGTTGGTAAAAGTCAAAAGTGTTGAGCAATTCATCAACTAAATGCCACACGGACTGATTTTCTTTTTAAATTCCATTTTCTCCGATATCTTTTTATTTATTGCTTTGCTACCAAGGATGTTGTCCCGCGGCGTAGCGTGTGCTACTGTAAAGTCTTACTTCCCGTGGGGTCTTCGTACAACAACTAAACAATATATAAAACAAAACTCTAATGAGATATATCTTAACAATGACTGTTGTTTTATTTGTATGCTCATAAAACAGAATTAGCTGGTTATTAGCAACTAAAAAATTGTATATAAAACGAGTATATAAAGTACATTCGAGTATAAAATGCATTGTGTATAGCATATGTATATATATATACATATATATATACATATATATATACATATATATATACATATATATATACATATATATATACATATATATATACATATATATATACATATGTAGAGTGTATATGTTTAAGTTGTACAGCTCGTTTGTTTCATCAAGACTGTTTTGCAATCAAAATGCTTATCAGCCTTAACACATGTATATCGCCTTAAAGACTACGATAAATATATATACAATATATATGAAATATATATTGTGGCATGCAAGGGCATCTTTAAGTAAGGCACAAACAATTGAGCCGCTGAGATTATGTGGTGCGCGTTGCCGCATCGCTTGATCGAACATTTCCATTTGAGGTTATATTTGGATTATACTTCCTGCAGCTTTCTGGCTAGTAAAGCATTATGGCCGCTTGATTCTTGTCTTTGTTAAGCGGATCCGAGCGATGACGTTCGCGAAGCTCACGTCGTCTAGCATAAATCAGAACTGTTATATTTATCAATACCACAATTGTAGAAATAACAACTAAATAGAAGCTGTAGCCCAAATTAGCCAATCCTGTGCTGTACCAGTGTTGTTTTTGGTGCTCAGTTAGAAGAACATTGTGAATGAGATACTGATAGAATTGAATCAGCCAAGATAAGAACGCAATAACCTGTGCACAAGCCGATGAAACGTTGGAAGCTAACAGGAGCATCATGTTAATGCCTTTCTTTTCTGATGCCGCTGCCTTCAGCACAGCGGCTATCGCTGATATGGCGCTTGCCAACAGTCCAAATCCAGTGCCAAGTGTTGTGAGCAACCATAGCCAGAAACTAGTTTCACCATGTTCGGAGCGAATAAAGGAGTAAACTGTGAAAAAAATAATATTAGTTTATATTGACACTTGTATTTGAATAATTTAGAAACTCACCATTAACCTGATTGTTCCGTACCCCAAAACCAGGATTCAAGTTCTGATTGCCATAAAACAAACCAAAGTTGACGTCTCCCTTGGCTTCTGTGGAATTTGTGCGCCGCGGATAGGCACGCACCCAGTGATTGGTTGTCATACTGGTCAATAGTAATCCGATGGCCAGACAACTGCCAAAGAATGTAGAGAACACAAGCACACGCGTGCGAAGACTCATCCTAATAGATCTATGAATGTGTAAGAAATGGAAAGTTATCATACAAAAATTTAACGCGAAAACTTAAAACTGTTTTCACTTCGTTGATTTCAATTATATGGCGGTTTATGTGTGGACGTTATCATTCTAACTGCAATTTCCCTACAACAAAGAAAACGCAGCACAAAACATCAACAAAAGCAGAGCCTGCTGTGCAATTCACTCACCTTGCGAAAGTGGATTTGCGGGAAGGAACGCAAATGCTGTCGTTGTAATGATCACAGCTGTTTTCCTCAATATATCGTTGTATCATTAGCATCGGAATTATCTTAATTCATATCTTTTGCAATTCATGCGTGTCTCCGACTTATCATTAAACTTTTGTTAAATTCTTCTTTATGTTTATAAATAATTTTTCCAGCCGTTTTGTTAACTCTGTTGTGTTTTCCCTATGATCTTTTTAGTGTTGGCTAATGTTTTTGGTGTTGGAAAACATTTTATTTCCGCAATGTCTGGCAACACTACAGAAAATGTATTGAATGTGTCATATGGCAACGCTGCATGCAAAATTAGCGCGTAATTTGTGCGTAACAAAAAGAGAAAATCTTTAATAAATATGAGTGGCCGCAAGCACAAAGGAGCCGAAAACATTGAAAACCTGTGTCCTGTAGCCAGGTAAATATGTGCATTGTAACATAGATTAACAGAAACATACGAATCGTGTGTGCACACAAAGGCTGGCCATCAAATGGCGCGAACTACTCCAGTGACGTCACATAAATAAAAAGCAACAGCGAAACGGGGCCAGCACATAATTGAAAGGTGCTTGACCCGTGCTGACCAAGCAACTGCCCCGTACTAGCTCGCCGAGCATATTTCAATGTCTTTCCAACTTATTACAGAAAACGGTCGACAAGCAAGAACGGCGCAATCGCCGCTGCAGCCACTGGGCCCGCAACCAAAACGTCGTCGGTTTACGAGCACACCTCCTCCCCGTCAGTGCTGACCTTTGAAGCACTGGAAGAAATGGGCATCGGGATGTTGGATTCTGAGGAGAGCAGTTCATCTGCACTGTCAGCAATAGCACTCGCTGTTAGCACCACCAGCGATGAGAACTCCAATGAGACTACGCCCTACGCCAATGTGTCCCGTATGGCACATCAGCAGGCGCGTATGAGTCTGAACTCGACGACATCTACACTCGACAACAGCGGTGTCAACAATACTATTATTGAGGTTTTCAATGAAGATACTCAGGAACGTTTTCTGCAGCAGTCTGCAGAGAAACTTCACGTTCTGGCTCAGGCTAAGCGCACGGCACTGGTCACCAGCGAATGCAGTAGCAATTCCAACTCTCCCAGCAAAAGGACTAGAAATCCTCTGGCCACAGTCACCTGCAATAATCAAATTGAGTCTTTGCTGCCACCGGTGCCGCAGCAGCAGCAACAGCAACAGACGCCCCTTAGCTTAATGCCCTCAACCAGCAAGCAGGCGGTGATGCGGCAAAAGAGACCAACGACGGCACCGCCGCCACCACAAACACTGACAAGCCGCCTGGCGCCCACTGACGATTTCTTTGTCTACCGTACTCCCGTAATGAGCGCCCATATTAGCAACGGTATTAATTACTTTGAAAAATTGTCTGACGAAATTTTGCTGGACATTTTCAAATGGCTACCAAAGAAGACGCTGCTGCGCATTGCAACTGTTTGCCGACGATTTAATTGCTGTGCACATGACGAGACTCTGTGGACACGTCTGGATTTGGGACTACGAACGCTTTGTCCAAATGCCCTGGAACAGGTGGTAAAGCGCGGTGTACCTGTACTTCGTCTAGCCCAAGCAGAAGTAAGAAATTGAAAAATGTTCCACACACGTTTTCTTAATTCTAAACAATCTTTCCACCAGATACAAGATCCTGCATTTACGTGCGATCCATCGTTCATAGATTTTCAGTCGCGTCTGCAATATTTGGATTTGAGTCTTGCTTCCATTTCACTCAACTCTTTGAGCACATTACTAGCGCATTGTCGGCAACTGAAAAAACTTAGCCTTGAGCATGCCGAGATAAATGATAAAATTTGCTTTGAGATTGCACAGAACAGTTCGCTGGAGACACTCAATCTGTCGATGGCCAGTGGCCTTAACGCAAACAACGTGGGTCAAATGATGGAGTCGTTAACCAAACTCAATAGCCTAAATATATCATGGACTGATTTAAGCGCTGATGCTGTCACCGCACTGGTTACTCACATACCGTCCAATGTAATCCGATTGAACGTAGCCGGTTGCAGACGGGTTCTCTTCGATATACGTTAGTTTCTTATAAACATTTCCTTTGCGTAGATGGATTTATCAATTATCTTCTTTTGCTTTCAGATGTTGTTACACTGCAGAAACGCTGCCCGCAACTGCTTGAACTAGATCTTTCGGACTGCAATAGTCTAACACCTGCGGCACTTACTGCAATCATGAAATTCAACAGTCTCGAATATTTGTCCGTTTCGCGTTGCTATCTCATACCCGCTGCTAGTTTTATGTGAGTTAATCAAAGAGAACACTTAGGACACGGCCTCAATTCTAACTATTTATGTGTGTCTATTTAATTTAGAGAACTGAAGAACATGACGTCACTTACCTATCTGGACATTTTCGGCATGCTCTCAGATGCCGCCATGGAAGTGCTGGAAAAGCAAATGCCTAAAATTGGGATTAACAAGTTTATACATAGCTCGGTGGGACGGCCAACTGTAGGCACACGTCGCACCTCGATTTGGGGATTGCGAACACGCGACTGAGGCGCCCCCAAATATACTTGATATTTTCTTAAATTCTTTTTTGTTGCGTTTATATGCCGCCTAGCGCAGTATTTATATTCAATTCAATGACAATAATTAAATGTCACATTTAGCATTTCAATTTTAACATCTTTCGATCACTCGTCGACCTCGCTGGGCGGAGCTACAGGCTTCTCCCATTTCCAGTCATCCCAGCTAACGCAGTCCTTCAGGCTATCGACAAAGCCCATTTCATCCGGACAACGCATTTTACTGGCGGGCTCGTTCAGTGTCTCGCACTTCCAGAAAGACGTAGGATCCCAGTTATCACGGAAGATAGCTATGTCCAACTCCTCCTGCGTCTTGCAACCCGGCTGGCCATCGTTGCTGTAGGCGTTGGCCAAACTGCAAGCAGCCAATAGAACCAAACAGATAGTAAGCTGAAGTTTCATTTTACTACAAATGATGCTCAACTATTCGACAACTAACCCCTTATATAGTTACCTTGGGGCATTGATAAGCCAACTCAAGTGCAATCTTTACCTGAAAATGCTTTTAAAAATTGGCTGGTATGCAAACATTTGGCAACAACTTGGCTGACGCAAAGATTCTTCAATTTCATTTATAGTTGGAAGTTTTAACAAAAATATATGAACTCAATATATGAAATTAATAAAAAAAAGTTTCAACTAAATATTCAAATGCTTATTCTCTTGTGCAAGCTTATTACGGTGCGCAAGTCATATCCTAACACCTTAATTGCATCCTTAATCACTGCTTACATATATATTATATGAGGTGCAATAATTTTTAATTCTATATATAATTTAAAACAAACCGCCCGAGGTTTTTAATGATTCATATTTAATGCGATGGTCACCCTAATTCTATATTTTTATTTTCTACTTAACAGCAGATGCACAATCAAAAATGACCAAGTTATAGAATGTCATAAATCGTGCATGGAACTTATATAAGCATTAATATTGAATTAATATAGTTTGATTCAACGTTGACACCGATTTAAACATGATAAGGAATACAGTATATACAGTATACATTAAGCTGCCAGACTGACAGAAAATGTGTGCTTGTAAAAAAACGACCTAAAAATGACAGAATTGTGGAACGCACTATTTGCCATTAGTTTAATTTAGTGCTGAGAAATTTTAGGTTTTGTGTAGGCTTTGTATTCTACTCTCACAAAATTTACTTTTACATAACTTTTCAGGAAGAATCTTTAAATTTTTGGTAGCGTTCCAAAATCATATACAACTAAATAAAAAGTAAGTTGACATTACCAAAAACACATACACGATAGACAAAAAAAAAAAACTGTAAGACCTTGAAAATTTACAAATCTAGAACGACGCATATGTGTTCAAGGAGAACGCTAATCTCAACTGTCTTTCTAGGAGTTCGAGTACAATATACAATAGGAGCAAAATGTCGTTGAGACGTTCAATGTCTAGCTCAACCTCGAGTGCTGCCGAATGGCGCAATTACTTCTTGAGCACTCACTTTTGGGGACCAATTGCCAACTGGGGAATCCCAGTAGCCGCCATTGCGGATACATCTAAGCATCCCAAATTCATCTCTGGCAGAATGACCTTAGGTAAGAGTTATTCGCTCCGGGTTACCTTATCTAAGCCAGCTGAAAAAGATTCCATAGAATTAGTCGCAATCAGTGTGCTTTCATAGACACATTTGTTTATTATACTTGATTCAGCTTCTGCTAATCAAATTGCCTGGCACTGATAAGCCAGACATTTGGACATTTGGCCACGCGCCAGTCGCCGAGTTGTTGCTGATATGTCTGGCGGAAAGTCATTCGTATTCAAATTTAACTTTGTTTCTTCTTTTCCTAACAGCTCTGACACTGTATTCGTGTATATTCATGCGCTTCGCGTATAAAGTACAGCCCCGTAATTGGCTGCTCTTTGCTTGCCACGCAACTAACGCTTCAGCGCAGGCCTACCAAGGCTTACGCTATCTCAAGTACACGAACTCTCAGGAATCAGCTGCGTAGGTTGTCTGCTAGCAACCTTTCACAGAAGCGCGCGATGTGATTTTAAATATTTGAACAATGATGACACCGACAATGGCAATTTATCACAAACACGCAACTGACCGACCAACGTAATGACTCCACCAATCAAAGCCGCATCGAATTGGTTGGATCTCATTCAGCAATGCATCTGCCTTATTGCTGAAGTGGGCTCCATAACCTTTGAGTGTGCATCGCGCGCTTAAAACTCTCCAGTTGAGAGTTCATACACGGCTTTGGTTTTAGATATGATGTATATGAGTTAAACATTTAAAATTTAATGTGCAATAGAAAAATTAATGTTTCGGTTTTACACATGTATTGAATAAACATATTTTAGAATTTGAACTATGAGGCTAATAAAAATGAAATTATACCGTTTGGAAACTAGTACTTTAATAAATGTAACGAAAATTCCTTACTTTTATTTTTTTTAACTTTAGAATGTACCCTAATTAGTAAGAGAAAGTAATGTGTTTACAGAAGGAATTTAAATGAAAGACAAAATAAATTTGATTTTGTCACGGCCTTCAGCACATGTACTTTATTTATAGTATGTTTGTATATAATAATTCTTAATATATATGGGTAAATATTTATTTTTTTTTTGTTTTTTTTTTTTCTTGCTGCTTTCAGCTTGAAGATACGTTTTGTTGATTACAAGTAGTACATAAACAGGTATATAAAACAAGTGGTTAAAATTTCATAATTTCAAACATAATAGAGTGCTAATACATTTTTTTTTTTAAAAATCATGCGCATTTTATATGGCGCTTTTGTGATTAAGTATGCACAGTTTCTTAGTTACTAATAACAATATAAAAGTATTTAATTAATTGCTCAAGCAATTATCTGTTCTGATTATTTTTTCTGTGGTTTCTTGAGTGGATTCCACATTCTACAACGACTTCTTCAGCGACAACATTAACTTAATGGATGAATAAAAATTATCTTGTTACAACTAGAGCTCTGCATCGCAATATGCGACAATCGAGAGGTACGACAGTTTGACTATGGCATGGCTATTAGAATCTTAATGCTCAGGTTCGGGCTTGATGTACGTGCTATTAATATGAAAGTTTTTTTCAAGGAAATCCGCAATACGTTTAGTTCGGCGAAGCAATCGTTTCAGATCGGCGTTTAGTTCGTCGTTTCTCGCTTGCAGGGCTTCCTCTTCACGTTTCTCCTCCTCCTCGCGATTCCTGGTCTTCTTGCGCGACACGCGACTAGCCTCATTGTTCTTAAGACGATCTCGGTATGCCTTTGCCTCTTCCTCTGTCATTCGGGACATTAGCTCTGGATCCGGGCCATCAGCGTGCTCTTTGGCAGGACGTCCACGCTTGCGCTTGACGCTGTCATTGATCGATGTTGCGACGCTGAGTGCTGATGTACTGACGGTGGAGAAAGCAGGTGATACGGGTGCTGTGATTAAACCAGCAAATCCTGTCTGGCAAGTTGGTACATGCGAGGTAGAGGTGCTAATGGAATATGTACTATTGGGTGTGCCTGGCGCTGAGAAATCTGGTAGTTGGGTTAATGCAGGGTTATCCTCTGCGCTGCGCAGCTCCTCATAAATTTGGTCATGGTTGGAGATGTTGCTAGCTGTATTCAGCTGTAAGTGACAAAAGTAGTACATTAGTAGGCTGTGGTATTAGTGAAATGCTGTAGTAACTTACATCATCAATGATATCAATGATATCAGGGGTATTCATGACATCTGAAGAGCTGATCTGCGATTTGTTAATGTTAAGGAATAGTTTACTGCGCTTCTGTGGCGTAGGTTCAATTGTAGAGAAAAGAGAAGCTGCAGAGGCCGTACGCTTGACGCCCAAACACGGGTTGGATAGGGTTTCCGGCACAACTACAGCACTGCAAACATCTTCATTGATACCAACCAGAGGACCAAGGCCGAAGCCCAGCGACTGCTGGCTGCAGCCATAGTAGTTTTCCCTGCTGTTCTCGTCAGCTGGTATAGGTAGTTCCTCGATGTATTTAGTTTGGCTAGATGAATACGGAATGGAGCCCTGCGAGAAATTGGCCAGCATAGGATTTGCATCGCTAGTCAGTATGCTTCCAAAATCAAGATCTTCATACAGGTTGCTTCCGATATCGATGTTATTGCACATTGAACCCATGTCAATTGCCGGCTCCACAGCACTCTCCAATTGTTGAATTTCAAATTCACCCATTCCGCTTAAGTCGTAAATGTTGTCGCTGCAAATGCTATCCAAGTCCCGATTGCACTGATCCATTTCCTTGCGCTCAATGTGATCCTCGGCAATCAGGTTTATATCAAAGTCAAAGTCAAATATATCCGTCTCACTATTAATCTCTTTTTCAAACTCCTCGCTTTTTCCGCTGTTGCTCGTCGACGACGTAGTTTCTATATTTTGCAGGAATTCTATGAAAAATACAAAATATTATTAATACAATAATAAATAAAGTTTACAAGCATTATTGTGTTTTTGCGTGTTTGTTGACAATAGCCATTTTGAAAAGCTTGTTTCACATTCGATTAAGTATGCAATAGTCTAAGAAGACTTTCCTCTCTGAATTGAATTTAAAATATGTTGCATACTCTTAGACAGTCACATAAATTTAGAAAGAGACAACTAGCTACACAGTGTAAACTGACTAAATTGCTATCTCGCTCTGATCATCATTGTTGTGAAATTCTTCAAACGAAATCGCAAAACAAAACCAAACAAAATACAGTGAAAATATTAATGGCTAAATAAATAAAAATAAATAAATTAAATTAAATTAAATTAAATTAAATTAAAAGGGAATGCAAATATTTAATATTTACTAAGTTTCTAATCTGTTTTGCACTTCGCAGTCAGAACAGCAAGCACAGGTACATCAAAGAAAGAGACGGAATAAGAGAGCGGGTTCGAGTGGTCATGTCGTTTACTCGAATCAAACATGATCGTTCATGCACGTTCATGTTTCAAAGAGCTTGTATGTTGGTGAAATGGCTAAAGGGGATGAAGTTTGATTTGTTTGCAGGGGTACACAAGCTATTAATATTCAAATCTACTAATTTCTCATAAACTTTAAAAAATGTGTAAATTATGTATAAGCAGAACCATAAAATGTCAACTAAAACTAACTTACACTCTACAAAAATGGTAGTTTATGAAAGAAACGTTAAAAATATGTAATTTGTTGTTTTGCTAATTGCATATAACCTCCTGAAAAACTATAGTTCAAATATACAAAACAAAAAGTCAACACTTGTTGCAGATGGGCTCACCTGCTAAAAGGTCATTAATATTAATATTTTTATAAATTAATAAACTAAACTAATTCTCATTTAAAAATGTTTACATTTTCAAGAAATTAATTTAGATATGAAAAAATATTATTTGTTATTTTCATAAATATTCACCTTTTGAATGGAAGAAGCTCTTTGCACGCTACTGCGAATTATGTTCTTGATGCGCGAGCGGTCTAACAACAACTGATTTCGTGTTGCACACACAGACCTTTTATTCAGTTCAGACGTTCTGATCGCGAGAGCGAAGACGAACCAACACATATGCGCAACCTGCCCTACACCAACAAGTGTTTGAGCAGTCTACTGTTGTCTCGTTCTGCCTCACGTGGGTCTTACAGGAATTCTTTTTGGATAATTACACATGATACAGATGTATGGTTATTGGCCTATGGCCGACAAGTTACCAATATATATAACTGTGTAGTTTTGGGGTTTCGTTGCACCAATACACTTGCAGTTGGAATTTCATCAGAGCAAAATATTCGCAAATGAATTTGACTTGAAATTAAAAGGCGTAAATAGCAATGAATGCTACGCACTTAATTGATTTTGCAACTGACTTAAAGTGAAATATTAAAACATTTAACCTACACAAAAATTTTATTTTAATAAAAACAACAAGCCTAACAAAAACAAATGAGAATATTTGCAAATATTTTCATACTAAGTATGTACACACATATGTTTGTGCGTAAATTGTTTGTATGCTGACTGCTAGTGGTACCACCGTGCGTATACTCGATGTGCATACTGTCAACACACGTTCATATGTGCATATGTATGAGTGTATAGCCGGCCGGCACTAGTCAACTGTCTTGCGCTTTAAGCCAATAAGAGGAAAAGAGACAGCGTGACTGCGTTTACTAACACACTAAGAACGCACACATACTCCTACTCTCTCTTGTGCCTCTCTCAAATTTTGTATATCATGCTAATCGAATTTCACAACAATTAAAGGGGAAGCATAAAATACCTAGCAAATCAATGTCAATGTCTCTAAAATGTGCATTACAAAAATTAGCTTTAATGTACATGCATATACATATACATGTAATATGGAAAAAACTGAATTGATGTACACAATTGATCATATTTGTCTACAAATGTATTAATAACTTCAAAAAAATAATAAAATTGAATCTAGGTTAATCACTAATATATACATATATATATATATATATATATGTTTGCGTCAAAGAGCGCATCTAAACGTACTTGCTCTATGCCCATTTATGGGCACCGTTAAACAAAGGAAAGAGAAGTCCCACATGACGGTGAAGCGATAGTTGAGGCCCTGATGTATCATAAAGTGACATGATTTCTAACCCTTTACGTGAAGAAATATTTATTCACAAACGCACACTTTTGTATGAAATTAATTCAACTTTAACAAGCTGCGTGTACATATACTCTAAAGTTACATGAGTATCTTGTTTAAGAGAGGGTTAGTTACATTATTTTAATGGCAACACGAGGCACTAAAATGATTGACAAACAGGATTGCAAATTATTTGACCTATTATGCCTGTCATACGTTGAAATTCATTGATAACAAAATCAAAGTAATTATTTATTTGTAATATAATTGGAATATCTTTAGAAACAAATTTTATTTTGTTTCTAGAATGCGTTCATTATAAAATGCTCCGTTAAAGTTGAATTCTTCGGAGTTACCAAAGTGACAGCCGGGCATGACTCATTGTTGGAAGCACAAAAAATAACCTCTCTGCCGATAAGAACTTGTAAGTAAAAAAAAAATACGACACACATAGCTCTAGACAAATCAATGCAAATTAAAAGATGAATTCAAGTTTTTGCTGAGTTATATAAAATCAAAATCAGGTCTAAATAAATTTAGTGTACAAAAATAATAAATATTGTGCACTTGACTACTTTTAAATTTAAGCATATTGATTTTCTGAGGTGGGAAAGAACTAGAATGAAGTATATTTGATATATATATATGTAATGGCATTTCATCTAGTAATCAGATGAATTTTAATTTTCTTTGTGTTTCAACTCATAATAGAAAAAGACTAAAAGACAACGACTATTAGATTGCGGGACTAAAAAATCGTTAAGTTAATATGATCTTCGGTTTTCATTAATCAAGTTTCAGCTCTTCGGTCAAAGTCCTCTTGTCCAGCAATTTTGGATTTTGCAATTGTTTATCAAGAAGTCAAATTAGCTGTGGCTATTTATTCGAATATAAGTAAATTTATAGTCAGACGAATACTAGCGAAAGTCATATAATATATATATATATGTATAATATAATATTATAATAATAATAATATATATATATATATATATATATATATATATATATATATATATATATATATATATATATATATATATATATATATATATATAATATGAAAAAGGTATATAAATTGTCAAATAAATATAAACAACAATAACATAGCATGAATGTGATTCACATAACCCTATTAGAAGCCAAGCGGAGTGAAAGCAAGACACTTGTCTGTCCACATCCAATTTGGCGTTAGGCAAATTGCTTATACTCTGTGGACTGCTGTGTGGTCGCAATGGGTCATTGCACTGTGATATTCTGCTCATTCATCACGTGGTAATGTACCTCGATGTCATAGGCCGAAACAACGTCCGTCTGCGCGTCAGTTGAGCTAGCGTGCAGACGGGTGCATTTCGATGCCTGCTATCTGACTCTTTCTCTAACTGATTGTTTGGCCATGCGTGAGTGTTGGCTACTTGTTTTGATTTCGATATTTCGAACAGTAATGAGAGAGTGCTGGTACAAATTACACACACAAACACAGTACTCACCATCAATGAACACCGGTACATCTATCTCTTCAACTGTAGCAGTAGGCATTGCTCCACTCATATCCTGGTGGGACTGCATGTCTGCACCTGTCAACTGTATACCAGCCATTGATGCCAGAGTCTGGGGCGTGCTCGAAACCTGGACCGTTTGCGTCACCGTTTGAACAGTCGGTGGACCTACCATTTGGCCGTTCACGACCTGGTTTACTTGCGAAACTAAGCTGCTCGAGCACGGTTCTTGTGGGTATATTGTCCCAGTCAACGGGATACGGGATGTTGGCGTCACGATACGGGATGCTGTCGCCGAAGTCGTAAAGTTTACTGAAGAGCTCGCTGAAGTCAAAGCACGATTCAAAGAAGCCGTTGTTGGTACCGACCCAGGTAAAAAGGGTATTCTGATAAGACGAGTTCGAGGCGCGCTCTGCTCTGTCCTGTTGCTCTTGCTGTTGTTGCTGCTGTTGCAGTGCGTGGGCACCTTGATTAGTATGATTCTTGGATTCGGCTGCGTATTTATAACAATTGGTATCGTTGTGGAGTTTGACGTCGTCAACATAGGCGAATCCTTCGTAGGCACTATTCTCTCGGTTCTCTTCTGCGAGCAATTGCAATTTGACGAGTAGATTCTCTCGCCAGTTGTTGCCACGTTGCTCTGCTTTTCGTGCGCCTCGTATGTTGTTGCCTGTACTCGTGCTGGCTCCTGGATCATCAATATTATATCTTTGGGATTTTCGGTATTCCGTGTGGTTGCTGTTTGAGTTGGTGCCGTAAGTATAATCGGAGATGTTGTTCTGACAGTTGTTGTTGGTGTTCTTGGATTGCTCGATGCTGTTGTTTGATTCGCTCTTTGGCCTATTTTGGCTGGCTTGGGTTTCGACGCTGAATGCCATTTTGAACGCGGCTGCTCGATGCAATTGCCGAAATTCAAATATTCGTTTCCACATTCAGTTTTCGATTTTATTTATTTTTTTTTTTTTGGTGAACGGTTCATTATTGGTTTCGGTTCGACAGGGTTTTAAATTTAATACAAATTCAAAATTTGTACAATTTTTTATAAATATTTCAGGATATATCGATGAGTGGAGCAAGCGCAATATAGAGTTTTGGTTTGGTATTTTTTGTTTTTTATGTGAAAGAAAGTAGACAAAAGAAAAAAGAATTTGTTATTACAAAGATCGACGACGTTGTGAAGCACGATCCTTTGTTAGGGTTCGCGCCACATGTTTTGTGGAATGTGCGAAATGTTGTGTAGGTTTGTATGTTACCCCAAATCATGGGTATATTATCAATAGGTCAGAGACACCAACATAATGACAAATAAAATTGTTGCGTTGATATCTCCAACCATTGAGTATTAGAACAGATCAATTATTTTATATTTTAGCAGGATTCATACAGTGAATTAATGTGATGTGTGAGTATTTGCTGTATTTTTTGTGGCTTATGTTCATGTTTGTTAGTCATGTTTTCCTTTTATTTTCATTTTTCTTTTGCCTTTTTTCCATATTTTCCTTTTTTATACATATTTTTTTTTGTACATTTTTTTTGGAATTACTCCTTTTTTTTATTTATATGTAACTTTTTTTTGGAATTGCTCCTTTTTTAATTTTGGAATTACTCCTTTTTTTTTGGATTTACTCCTTTTTTTGGATTTACTCCTTTTTTGATGTACTCTTTTTTGATGTACTCTTTTTTTGGGATTTCTCCTCTTTTCAATAAATATTTTTTTCATAAAACAATCTTACAAACTATTCAGCGATTGTTATTTCAATCAAGCAAGAATGAAGCTTACAACTAGAAGACAAAAGGACTTTGCATACTCACTTTTAATTGACCGTTAGAGAGAAACAATGAAATTGTTAGGGAAACTCTAAACAAGCTCTAAAAGAGTCGTCGACACAACTTCCTTTTAGACTGAAAGAAAAAATTAAGAATATTTTTTATTTGTAGGTTGGAAGCTTGTATGTAATTATTTATATATATAATAATAGGACTTGACAAATACTGCGTATTTGCTATAAACGTATAAGAGAAAATATAGAACAGGAGAAGTCAGATATGAAGCTATTTTATATTCAATGCACCCTACAAAAGCATGATAGGTAGCAAAGCTTTCTTGCGGGGCAATAAATAGCTAACAACAAAAGCTACAAATTGAATTTCACAACAATGCTTTGGACAGGCAAAAAAAAAAACAAAAAAAAATGGTGGCCACCTCGCAGCAATAACAACAACTAAAACAAGTTTGCAGTGGGGCTTGACGCCTAATCAGTTGTTGGTTACCCGAGCTGGTGACATTTAGGTAGTTACAGCACACTAATATACATATGTAGAGTTGTAAGGCTTGACGTGTATTGTAGATAATGAGCCATATCACAAACTTGGTATATCAAATCGTGCGCCCCAGCAACAGCGAAAAACAATTAATAATTGCTGGAAAAACACCAAAGACTGATACATACATAGACGCGTATAGACATTTATAGCGTGCGCTTTACTTAATTATACCCTTACCCACCCCTTGCTAAATACATGTACATAATTAAAAGCACGAAAAGAGCTGCCAGTCAAAATAAAATCCCCCATAGTATGTGTATGTGTGTGCCACGGTCTGTATGAATACTTGTCTAATCATGTGTCATCATCAGCAGCTGACTGCGCTACAGAAACAATTTGTGTATGTATCGGTATGCGCGCAAAGAACTACATATATATGCATATCAACAGTTTATACATAGGTAAGTACAAAGTCTACACCTAAACTATATATAAATATATATATATATATATATAGTATATATATATATATATATATATATATATAGATATATGTATATACATGTGTTTGTACATATTTAAGTATGTATGTATGTAAATATGAATATATGTATGAATTTACAAATATATATATGTATGTGCTGTCTGCAATTGTTGTTAGCATTAATTCAATATGGCGGCCGGCCGCAGTAAAAAATCCAATAAAAGCTTTTCATACATAGTATAGTTAATGAATTCATTTGCGAAAGCTGGAAAACTGATTATATGCTTAATGCTGCAACTACTTACATAAATTTCTAATATGTGTCTTCAAGGACTGTTGGCCGGCTGTTAAAGAGCTGACCGAAAAATTCACTTGCTTTTTAGCGACGCAATTTATTGGGTGGTTTCTTGAACCACCACTCGATTGTCTCAACGCGCGTTGCCGTTGCTTTTACAAATGTTATTTAACAAATGCGCAGTTGCTGTTCCACGTAGAGCAGCAACAATTGTATAAAAAACCTTAAACAATTATTTTTCAACACCTTCTATCCTTTACTAGGAATATACACCGAAACGTTAGCTGTATATGCGGTTTATGTATATTTTACACTTTTCACATTCAATAGAAAACGGAGCTGAGTGTGACTCAACTGCTTGCTTGTAGTATTCACTTGGAATTGAACGGACAGATCGCCACGAAAACAGCCAGTCGAGGCTGAAAAGAGCTGCAAACTGCACGAACTGTAATCTCATGAATTTAGTTTCGTTGTGAAATTCAAAAAGCACTGCAAGTAACCAGTTTGCCATAGGCAGATAACTTGCTAGGCGTGTGTGTGAAAAAGCTTTTCCCTCAGATACTTTTGTGAGCACACAAGCGAAAGCTTTATTAAGTTTTGCGTTCATTTCTCTCAAAGGCGCAACAAGGTTCTTTCTCAAGCAAAGCTTTTTAGTTTTTGTTACGTCATTACGAATATATAAATCAGCTATTACAAAATAGAAGCAAGGAACTTAATACAAATACAATTTTAAAAAAATTGAAATAATGTTTTTAAATAATTCATACATTACTTTACCAGCTCAATACTCAAAAAAGTATAGACAACAATCAAAAAATTATTTCTCTTGAGTGACGTCACAGCGTTAATTTGACTCTCACATATGAAGAACAACCTGTAGGCTAAGGCTACTGAGCGTTTTCGCAGTATATGTATGTATATTTAAATATGTGTACAAGCATATGGATATATAAGTATAAATATATAAATATAAGCAAGTGCACCGGCCGGCTTGCAATTCTTAATTATATATGTACATATATAAGTCAATTTTAATTTATATGTATATTAATTTATGTAAACAAATCAGAATGCATTTAGTTATGTATATTTTTATGCATAAATACTCATTGATTATATTCAATATTATATAATATTTATGAGTATACATATATATGAGAATTACAAATATTACATTACATATATGTAGCTACTGTAAATAGATTTGTTTCATATCAGAGCAACAGGTGTTTTACTTTTACTTATGAACATACATATGCATATGCATGTGTTTCTACATATAATCATAAATGCGTACATGTAATAAAATTAGTTTGCATGTTTCTATAGTCAAATGTTTATGCATACGTAGATATGTACTTAAATTAGTAAATCTGAATGAACTATAACAATAACAAGCTCTGTGGGTCTCTATACGAAGATTTGCTCACTTCAATAGTAAAAGAAAAAATGTAATTATTATACTTTAATAATCATACAAATATAAAATAATGAATATTAAAACTATGTGAAGTTATGATTTCACAATTTAAAAATACGTTAGGCTTTTAAACTTGGGGTTTCGCTCTCACTTGCATATGCCAGTACAGCTTTTGTGAGATGGCTGTTTGGTTGTGTGTACGCTTCGCTGTAAAGATAAAAGCTCATCAACCAATTCTCAGAATTTAAGAGCTTTTAACTCACACACATCTACACATGTATATGTAACATGTATATCTGTGAGGGCGTATGAGTATGAATGTTTTTATTGTAGTGACAATTAAAAAAACGCATGAGTCATGCTGCCAACGCAAAAATCGCAAAACCGAAAAGCTCTATAGGCATGTGATGTCTGTAATTTTATTTGAAGGGATCGGTTAGTGAGGGGGCCGTTTTAAAAAGCTTCGCAAAACAAAAACAACTTGTATTGCCCGTTTGGCAAAAGAGGTGCGCAGATTTCGTAGAAATGTTAACATACTTATATAATTATAAAGTATATAGAATGAACATATACAGATTCAAATGTATGTACATACTTGTACATTTGTATCTGAGGGGGCTTTTCGACAGTGAACTCAGAGTGGCACTGAATGGCACGAGATCTGTATACAAATGTACAAACCAAGCAAAAGCATGCAAACAAGTAATAATGTTCAAACTTGTTGCTAAAAAAAAGATTCGAATATTTGCTAGCAGTGATGATTGGACAGTTTTCTGTGCCAAGGGCCACGTCAATGAAAAACTTTCACGTAACATTTTTCGTACATACATAAGTATATGCACATATGTATATATCGTAAATATAGTTACCTTTTATTATGTGTAAATATATATAAATATATATGTATTTATTTTGATTATTATAATGACGCACTTTATGGATTATCAATAATCAATGTATATTTAGTGCACATGCTAGTGGTCATCCAACCAAATGTTACTTACATATGATCTTACATATGTTCAAAATAATGTTCCAACACCATAAATGTAAAATTTATTAGCTGCAAAAGCGTGAAGCATCACAATGGCTATGCGCGTGTAGGGTGTGCGCGGTTCGTATGTGGTTAAAGAGCGTCAGAACACGGCATGTGTATCTTATGAATGTATGTATTGACATAAATATGTATGTGTGAACTTTAAAGTTTGTACGAACAGTGTCTCACAGCATTGTATAAACGAGCCTAACTATTTTATTTGCATTGAATAATAATTAAAGTTATCGAATCTGTGCGATGATATCATGGACAATTAACTTACCGCTCATCCTGATGCCGCCGCGTGTGGCAAGCAAGTTCCGATGCAACAATTTTCCTGTTTTTTTTTTGTTTCTATTGAGTTCTCTAAGTGTGGCTCAAAAACGAAAACCTGGGAAACAAATGTTGCGGCGAATAATACCACGCTTCTTTCGCAAGCCCTTGCTGCGCTTTAGTAGACCCTTAGTAGCCTTAGAATTACCCGTGGGTGTTTTAACCGAGAGATAACTATTATAGTTAATATTATGATGCCAGCCACGCATACGCATACACGTAAAATTGTTGAGCATGGGAACTTGCTGCCACGAATGTTGCACACACATGAAGACAACGACAGGCGAATGTTGCATGACGTTGTTGCGCCCCTCGTTGTGGTTCTTTCTCGCGTCGACACCTCTTGTTGTTGTTGTTGTTCTTCTCGTTTTTCTTGCAGTAACAGTAGAAACGACCAACATAATACTTGGGCGATTCGCCGATATATTGAAATCACTTAGTTAAATGACACGTTGACCTTATCAAACTAATATAGTCTTCGCACTAGATAATACTCTTATCTAATTATACAATTATTAATTAAAATATTTTTAAGTATTTTTAATTTGTTTATTCTTTGCTGTTACACACTTTTTACTCTTTTTACTCTCAAGATTATTCACAATCTTTAAATAATATTACTGTTCTATGAATAAAATATCTTTATACAAAAGTTCACTTGCTGATGCCATTAAGACCGTAACCGTAATATCAATTCAAATTAAACCAATTTTCCACAATACAGTGTATGAAACACTTTGAAAACAATTTCACAAATTTGCGTAGATTTGCAAAAATTTTTTATATGTTTGTTGTTGCTTGTGCTAAAAGCTCACTGAATACACGACTCGAACTGCGCTACGATATCAAAATTGCTCTGTTCACGACGGCTAAAGTTTTGTTACTAACGGATGCGAATCGAGTCAACCAGTCGCTGAACTGAGGCAACCGACGTAAGCAACTTTGCTGCTGATAAAACTTTTGCTGGTGACGTCGAATCGAATCCCATGCCTTAGCTCTCAGCTGGCTGCTGCATGGTCGTGCCCCCAAAACTCAATACTATTTATGCTTAGATGATGTGGTACACTATTACAGCTCCTACTTAATAAGTTTGTTGACCAAGTCGATTCTGTATTCTACTCAATTACTAACGTATGAAAGTTAATCCCGGTTGAAAGTCCTGCCTGACAATTCTGGATCCATTTTATTTGAATGATGTTAAAATACGACTGCATTTAATTTTAGTCAGCTCAGATATTTGAGCCACTTAGGATAAGTTACTCTTACTTTAAACCTCCGTACTATAATTACTTAATAATCAATTGGTTAGGGATCACCCTTCTAAATATATAGTATATTGCGTCGTAATCGTACTGTCGTCAGAATATATTTTTCACAAAATAATAAGTGCGCGTCTGTATATAAATACATATATATCATATACATATGTATTTACATATATATATATGACATGGCACATGTGTACATATATGCACCAAAGCCAAGTTTACCGAATTCGCATATAACTAAAACCTTATCAGCCCGAAGATAAGGCAGAACAGTAATTTGATAAACATGGGTTACATTAATCTTAAAATTGCTCTGTTCATTCATCTATGATGCGAAAAAGGTTTATAGTGTGCGTGTTGTCACGATTGGGTCGCAGCATGCGTGAGAGCCGAGAGAGCTGTGGCACGAGAGACTTTACCGGTTTGGCTGATGCAACAATTCCTACAAATTTCAACAGCAGCTGTTCGTTGCGCGGCACATCATGTCAGCCGACGAGCAACTTGTTACCAATCCAGCGCAACATGTTGCTATTGGCACTCCGATTTCATGTTTAGAATCAAAGAAACGTTGACCATGAACTCTAAATCAATATAGAGAAAATCACCATCAACTGTATGGAAATATGAAAATCATGCGACTTTGATTCATATAAAAATCATTGTTTCCGTTTTAAAACAAAATACCTTTTAAAGTTAATTCCAAAATGCATGCATACATACATTTGTCTTCCTATACCCGGAACCCAATCGGTGTACATTTCTTTAACATAAACATGTACCGTAGCTTATAAGCTTATTAGATTAAATACATCCATATTTAATATTTACATTTATTATGAGAGGGTCTACATTAAACTAACTAACAAGTGCTAAGGCTGTCTAAAAATGGAAAAAATGGTTTTGTATATACTTTATATTTTTAAACGCGAAAACGCTCTCAAATTTGTAAAAATCACTATTTGTCCATCTTAATTTGCCACGATCTATATAATAATTTGGTCGATCTATAGTACCAAAACGTGCTGTTTTGGGGCTCTAGCTATAAGATTGTTAAAGATTCAAATTTCCCCGATTCGTCCAATAAAATCAATATACACATTATATTCCGTAAACGAGTATCAAAACCCAAATGTCGTAAAAACGACGGCTGTGACAACCCTTATTGAGAATGTGCTTGCTAGGCTGTGGGAGAGTATGACTTTGTTTCGTGGTGAGTTGACGGATTTGAGAGATTTGTGAGAGTGCATTGAGTGGTGAGTAAGCGAATTTGATGGCTCGTGAGTAAAGGCATTTCTGTCGGCAATAACTGAATGTAAATGACGCAAAACTTTTTCTGCCGAAGCTTGCATGCCAGAATCTATCGGCTTTTAATGCCAATGTTTTGGCTGCTCGAAAGCAGATTACATATAGCTGAAGATAATGACAATATAAACAAGTAAAAGCCTATTTCATGACAAAGAAGATGGCTGTTTACAGTGGAAGTGTCTTCAAGTGATAATCTAAGTCTAAGTGATAGTTAGTCGTTGGAACACTTCCTCTATAGTAGGAAGTATACTAATGGGCCTGTAAGAGTCTGTACTGTCAACAGTTTTGCCTGTTTTGTGTGCCACAGTCATAGTGGTTTTTCCAGTAGTCTAAGAAGTAGTTTATTTTAACTCAAGTGCTGATGAGTTTGGATTTAAATTACATGCTTTTTGGGTTGGTCCTTCTTCTAATGTACAGGGTCAAAGTGATCTCTTAGTGTCTTGTGTGAATGTTTCTCTCTTTTCTTGGACTGAATTTTCCCAGAAGTGTCGGCTCTGTGTGATATATTTTGTATTAAACTGCCTTTTAGAGTTTCTTGTGAGATTCCTCTTTAAGTGAAGGTTTCGGTGTGATTCAGATTAATTGTGTGCACGACATCGATATAACGATGTCATATCAATGTTTCTTCCAGCTCTGCCACTCCAATATCTAAAGACTTCAGAATTGGAGACAGTCTAATAATAATAATATTAAGAAGATTGAAGATAATACCTCAGTGGAATTTATTTAGTTTACAACGAGTTTTTATATATTATTTATTCATTTATTTCATTCATTCATTGTTTTTTTAGAGTCTAAAATGTCTTTAAAGTTAAATTGTATTTGGGAATTGGGAAACAACATACAAACATTACACACATTGAATTAAAATTAATATTCATTCGAATACAATTGAAAATTATAATGGAAATTTTCATTTGAATCGCAAAATCCTATTGGAAAATTTCACATGTGCGACTTGAGCTACTTTCCAATATTTATTTACAAAACACAATTTGTGAAAGATTTTGTAGATTTTGATTTCTATTTTGTTAGATACGATTTATATATAGCATAGGTTTATACCTAGACTGAATTATTTTTGATTAGGACTGGTGGAAAGTTACGTTTAATTTTTACTAGCTATTTACAATTTTCTTTTAAGTTTTCTTTAATTTTACTTTTTTGTTGTTGAACGGAGATAATTTTCTTTTAACGATGGCTTTAAGCCATTTTTTTATTTAAAGGAGAGCTGCAGTTAACTCGATTACTGAGCCATGAATACATATATATATTTATATATATACTCACTCTAGCTACTTACATACACATATACATATATAGAACTAGCATTGAGACAGACATACGAACATATTTACAGATATGTATGTGGGCTACGACAAAGTGAGAGCTGATAGCTGAGAGCTTGGAGATTACATAGTAAAAATTCGACTACATCGATTGCAGTTATATTTACAATTCGGATTATCAGAACTAACTTAACTGATAGTACTCCGGAGCAAAGTCATTGGCCAGATTGCTCAGAAAATTGAAGTCCGACGAGCTGTTTGAGTTCTCCAGCCCGCTGATGACGGCTGCGCCACCAACCCCGGAGCCGCCAGTATTGGCAAACGCCTGCAGTTGTCCTCCGAAATTTGTGTTAGCATTGTGCAGATGATTGGCGGGCAGTGGCGGTGCACCGACCACCTGAACAGCGGCCGCTGCAGTCGCTGCATTATGGTGTGCATGTATATGTGGGTGAGTCTGTGCCTGCATCTGGTGATGCGGATGATGTGGATTTGCGTGTGGATGTGGCACTGGGTGGCTGTGTGTGGGCGGAATGGGTGGTTGTTGCTGGCCCGCAGTTGGGTCATAGTAGCTACCGGCGAAGTTATTGTATCCATCGCAGTTTTCCATTTGCAGGCCAAGTGCGCTATACGTTTCACCACCTCCAATGTGGTGCATAGGCCTGAAAATTAAATTAATATTTAATTGAAAAAATAATGAACAGTTCAACAATATTTGAAATATGTTTCGCTAAACACTGTGCGGTATGCGCTCATGTCTGCGGGTTTCATCCCGTGTGAGCGTAATGTTTGTGTCGTTAAGTGTGGAGCAATATTATTATTGGATAGGAATTTCGCTACTCGGTTTTGTATTTCACTAACTGTCGGTATGCTACCTAGAGGCGCTTTGTTAGCTGCTGCGTTATGTGTGGAGCAAAATAACTGCATTAAGTGGTTCTGTACTTCACTAATTGGTCACATGAGAGCGCCTTAGAAGCCGAAACTATAATTGTGGAGCAATATAATTGGTAGACGAAATTCGTTAAGTGGTTGTGTACCTTACTAGCTAGCTGCATGTCATCTAGATGGCGCTTTAGAATTCGAAATAAATTGCTACTTACTGTTGTTGATTTAAAGGCGCATGCTGTGGATGTTGCTGCTGCTGCTGTTGTTGTTGTTGCTGAAAAACTACCGTTTGGTGTTGGTGTTGGAAATTCATGTTGTCATAGTAAGCGCTACTCGCTTGCGACTTAGGATCATAGAAGTTGTTTGGTCCATTGATAGGTGGTGCCTCAAAATCACCAATGGGGTGGTGCTGCTGTTGCTGTTGTTGATGGTTCATGTACGCGCTGCCGCCATTGGTGTCGTTGTAGTTATAGTAGAATTGTTCGTGTTGGTGTTGCTGTTGTTGACTATTCTGATGGAAACTGACGTTGGCCGCATTGCTGTTCGGCTTGGGACTTAGATATTCGCCGTGAAGCGGTTGCTGTTGCTGCTGTTGTTGCTTATGCGGGTTGTGGTGCGGCGAGGCGGAAAATTCAATATCGTATTTACCGTAATAGTCCTGAGGCATCTGCTGCGCCGCCTGTAAATTTTTCGCATTTGGATTCGGATTGGGGCTAGAATAGTAGCCAGCGCCCGGGAAATAAGCAGCCGGAGCTGCTGCGCCATTGTTCTCGCCCAATGGGGAGGCAACTGCAATTGAAATGGCATTAGCATTGGCGCTTTGATACCGTTTCTTGCCGGCAGTCTTGGTTGCCGGAGAGTTGGAAGCGGCAGCGGCGGTGTCTGGATCACGGCGAAAACTGGCCAAACTAGGACCCGCATCATAGCCAAAAGGTGAGGCCTTAGACGAGGTGGATACGGCCTCCTTCTTAATAACCTATCAAGTGGAATATATAAAAATATGGATTGATTTGAAATTCAGAAATCAAAATCTCACTTGACTGTGACTGTCGTCTTTTTTCTTAACCTTGATGGGACTTTCCTCGATGTCCTCGTCTAGGCTAACGCTGGACGCTACACTGGAGTCGGCGCTGATGACATTCGAGGCGGAGACAGTGCTGCTGCCCAGCAGATTGGACGAAATGCCAGTTTCCAGCGATGAATTGGGAGTAACTGTGTTTTAGGAACGATAGAGATTTAGTTTAGGATTACTTCCCGCAGCAAAACACTTACGACTTCCAGCACTCGGATTATTGTTTGTGGCGCTAGGCGTATTGTTGTTGTGTCCTCGCGAATTGGACGTGGAGTCGGGAATATCATCGGAGGGCAGCTCGCAGCCTTGACACGACTTCTTCGAATTGGAGTCTGCGTTTCGCGTGAACCAAAAGTAAATCAGTTTTTGTTTAAAGCGTGCAAGTTGATGATATGTTTTTATGAAGAAAACAAAAAAAAAACACAAAAACGGAAACCAAAAATAAGAATCGAAAGAAAGAGACAACCCGAACTACTAAAACTGGCGGTATCAGCAGAAGGGTTAGCTCAAAGTCGCGTGAGCGACGCGGCAACTCTCGCTAAAGTTGAGCCCTCCTCCAGCTGACAGTGATTGATAAGCTACAGCATATTCTACTCTTCTTCTTTGCGTAATCAGCCTCAAAAAGTAAAAGTGACCCGCTAAACATAACCGAGTGTTTCGCGGTAGAGTGGTTAGTGGTTCTGTTAAGTTGGGAGTACAATAAGCTTTGTGTGTCATTGGATATGTTCCTTAAAGTGTTCCAAATCTCAAAATATTCTTGATATCTGCAGGAGACTTTTAGAGCTATCAGATCTAGCTAACACTTTTCAATAATCTCTTATATAAACTAGTTAGGAATTAGATTTAGATGGACTATTCTGTACTTAGTAGGGAAGCTTGCCTGAAACTCTTGTTAATAGAGTAAGAGTAAGAGTTATTACATGACTTTGTTCGACATTAATCAAACTTAATTTGAACACAATTATTTTTAGCTCAAAATCTGAACCCAAGTTAAGTATTTGCTCATCACATCGAAAACTTGAGATTTTTAGGCTACTTGAAAATGCATTAATCGTAAAATATTTAATTTGGCTTGTTTTGCACATGGCATCGTTAAGTATTGCCATCAATTTAACTCTTTTCTAGTCGTAACTCAAATTTCTCTTTGTATATTGTATTTTGTCTCACTGGTTTGACATGTGAAGAAGGACTTTATTTAGGCCGCATCAGTAGTTGGTTAAGTTTGCCACCCATTCTGTACCCATAGTTGCACTTGTTCAGTTATTTAAGCAATATATTTTGATTGGTATTTGAAATAAACTTTGCACTCACTGCTATCGGATTGATCATCGTCACCTTTGAGGCTGTCCTTATTGTCCTCATCGTCGGTCTTCGAGAGTGTTTGCCTCTTGTGCTTCATGCGACGATTTTGAAACCAAACTTTGACCTGAAATGAACAAATGGCCATACAAGATGCATTATATTACATAAGATTAGAAGTGAGGTGTGAAAGAGAACAATTAAAACGAAGAAAAGACTTCAGCCCAGACGCACAAGTGCGGAACTCAGCCACTGTCAACCTTGGCGTCGTGTAATTCATCACAAATAATGGAATTTTTGCACCTTTTAAAGAGCAGGTGGAGGGCTGGCTGACTGAGTGACTGCCAGACCTTCAAGCTGAGCGTTGAAATAAATTGAGTAAGAAATGGCAGACGGAAAAGGGCAGAGCATGCGCTGCATAGGGGGAGCAAAGAGTTGGCACTCACCTGTCGCTCGGTCAGATCCAGGCTGGCAGCTATTTCAATTCTTCTTGGGCGGCATAAATACTTATTGAAATGGAATTCCTTCTCCAGCTCCAGCAGCTGCGTGTTTGTGTACGCGGTGCGCAGACGTCGGGGCAGGCCGTTTTCTGGAACGAATTCAGCTGCAATTGAAAATTGCATATTCTTGTTTGAGTCCGTGGGTAAATGTGAATTTGAACGTGGCCCTACGTGGATAGCGGAGCGCCTTCTACTAACAAATTGCAAACGCTTCGACTTCGAGTACGGGTTCGAGTTCGGGGCGTTACCAACTACAACAACAAGGACTGACAGGAATCGAAAGCGACAATTTGAAGTATTGAAGATGCGCTGCAACTGCAGCAACTGCTGCTCATGGAATCTCTGTGATTGCGATTGTGATTGTGATCAATCCATCAGCTCGTCACCGGCCATAACTAATTCGAAGCTGTGGCAACTATGTGGCAAGCGCTTCCTGTCTGCCGCATAGCCCTGAGTGAGGCTGCAGCTGATGTTAATGTGGCTGCCACCAAATGCGGGTAACGCAGCTCAGCCAAAGTTTTGTCGACGCTGCGAGCAGCTTCCACTCCCAATTCCCTTCTCTATCTCAATCTCAATCTCAAGCGTTAAGTAATTAACAAAAATCTAATCAATCAATCCGTGAGGCGCGTGAAGCATTGCCACAAGGCGGCACGTAGCGACACTTCAAGTAGTTTGGCTACTGTTTCTCCTGCAACTTCTTTCATCCTCCTCAACTTTTCGTTAGCTTCATTTAAATATTTAACTGGATTTTATAAGTGAAGTGAGCACTCTCACAATACTATACAAATTGCAAGATTTTCTTTGAGTGAATGCTTTCTTATTTTATTTTTAGTTTAGTTTTCCGTTTTTCTTTAGATGAAGTTATTATGATATGTATTGAGTGAAAGCATGAATCTCTTTGATACTAGCTAATATTTGATAAAAATAAGTACAGAATAAGTTTCAAGCAAATTGAAACTATTTTAAACAAACTTTTCTTTAGGATTTTTTTTTCGAGAGGAACTTATAATTTTGTCAAATGATTTTCCCTTTTAAATTTGGGCTAATCAATTGGCTTATATGTGTTGAAGAAATGCGACCATTTGATTGGGTTCACTAACTCACTTAACGTATTTGCTGCAGCATATGAAAATACCTGTATCTAACGATAGTAAGAAAATGGAAATTGAATTCGAATTGCTTAAAGTGGAAAACAAAAGTCAAAAGTCAGAGCCAACAGCAAATACTTATATTTCGCATACAATAAAAAGGTGCAAGAAAAGTAATATATTCGCATATGATATGATGGGTAAAGTGAGCATTTTGATATTTTTACGCCTTATTTGCATTGATGCGATGAAAATGGAAAATGTTTGCACGTGAATTTCCAGTTGAACGAAGCTCGGTCTCAATAGCCAGCCAAATGGCAGCAGCAGCCAGACATAGACACTGATTGAATTACAGATGCGAGTTCCTTCATCAATACTGCCGAAAGCGGATGCCATAAACACCACCTGGATGCCGCCCGCACACACACACACGCGCACACACAACCCATTTCCTCGAATAGCAGGGCAGGCGGGCGTGTGGGTGTGGCAGCAAGTCGCATGCTACGAGTACTTGCGAAAAGTGCCCAGATATGAGAGGGTATTCGGAGCGAGAAGCATAAATTTCGCACAAAAGTTGCAACCAAACTGTTTACGAGCAAAAGGCAAGAGGGCAAGAGAGAGGGTGTTATGGAGATGGGCCGAGAGGGGTGGCAGCTAGCAGGCAGGCGACCGACGAAACTGAAAAGTAAAGTGCACAAAAGCAGAAAATATGATTTCCTTTTTGGCGACGACGAGCAGAAAGATAATTTTCTAAACCGAACCGTGCACACACACACACATCCACACATACACTCACAGAGAGACACACACACACGCGCACCAGCAAGAGGAGCAAGAGTTGGTAGCAAATGGAAAGCAAGTTGGTTGCAATTTCTGCAGCCTGGTCAAAATGAAAACCAGCTCGACGACAGCTGGTTAGGGCATTCAAGGTATCTGAAAATTACAAAATGAATTTTTGGCGAGGGCGAGGGGGGTGGCGATGGGGAGATCGTTGCATTGGAAATGTCATCAGCATGGATGAAATGCCGGAAAAGTCAAAACGTAACGAAACTTATCAGCAACTACGTCGGATACTTTGTGCAGCAGCACTTGCCAGCGGGCCTAGCCAAAGATTTGTGTTATAAAACAGAGCCCGCCTTAGGTAATATGAGCGTATGTATATGGTCACAAAATATTAATTTGCAGCTCGGAAGTGCTACTCGTGATTTACAGCACTTGAAATACACTTATTAACAGCGCCCAGAGCATAATTTACATGTTAACACTTAAACGCACTCGCTCTCCAGCTTGACCTTTTTTCTCGCACTGCTGCCCGCCTGCTGCAGTCAACTATGTGAAAATTTATGTCTGCATTTTGGTTAGGCGAACAGAAAAAAAAAACAGAAATTGCCACACTTAACGCATCTGCTGCCCCCAGTGCACACCGAAATTAAAATGGGCGTAAATTTTGCCAACAATTGCAAAATGTTTGCAACCGAAGCGAAAGGTAGCTTACAAGACTTTTAAGTTGTTCATTGCTTATTAAAATTATTACACTGCGCGAAGTTCATTATTATTTATTATTTTTAAAAATAGTTTAACTTAAATATATAAGAAAAATACAAAATGCCTTTTGCTGCTATTTATCTATGTCATAGTTTGTATGTTTCATAGTCGTAGTTCTTCTTCTATACTCTTCTTGCCTGAGAGACTCTTAAGAATAAGAGTTATTTTAAATTATTTTAAATCTTCAAACAATACGTTATAATATTATTTAACATACTAAATCAAGACAGAATTGTAGCTAAATTGGCAATATTTTGTAGTTTGTAGTATCAAGTGCTGGAAAATGTTAAGTAAAAACTAACAAGACGAAGTCTTACAAAATAGAGCAAGCTTTTTTATAGACACATCTCAAGATAATAGAACAACAATGAATTATTTAATAATTGCAGTAAGTTATAAAATAGTCTAAGCATTTAAGGTACATAGGCCAATATGCACAGTGTATTTACCTCATTTAAATCATGCTCAACTCCCATGGCAAAGAATGTGCCTTTTTTGCGAGGCAAGCTCCCAGTCTGTGTCTTTGCCTTTGCCCATGCTTGTACGCTGGGCCTTGGCTCTGGGTTTTGTGCTTTTGACCACTTTACACGTGTTAGTCCATAAGGATGCACATTACGAACATTTGTGGACACATGAATGGGACAGCGGTCAACAAGGTGGACACAATTTGTGGCAGGACCTTTGCGATTCGCCAGCAAAGAACAAACAAGATGACCAAAGGTGGACACTAAAAAAATGACCTCAATTTATCTTGTTAAATATTCTGGCTAGCGGCGAGAGGTAGCGAGAATAGAAGCAGGCGAAGCAACATTCTGTGGCTTGAGTTATGCTGAAGTTTGTGGTTGCAAAACTTTAAAGGGCCAGGCTGAAAGTGCTTACTGGAAAATTGTTGTGGGTAAGGTGGGGGCCATGACAAATTCAATCAAAAAAGCAACTGACGACGAAACGGAGGAGGCATACGGTTGTGCAGCTTATATGGACGGCTTCTTGGCTTGAGTTTCAGCTTCAGCTACCTCGAATGCCAAATGCTGCGATGCAATGCAGTAAAAATGCTCAAGCTGACAACAAAAAGACACACAGCTACAGAGACAGATACAGATACATTTACAGAAAAGTAGAGCTGGAGCTGGAGCTGGAGCTGGAACTCTGGTGTGGGACGACAAACGTACGAATGCGCAGAGCTGCATCATTAATCATTTCCAACCAAGGAAGACAACGACTGAGACGAGACGGAAAAGAAGGCGATGACGACGACGACGACGATGGCAGTAGAAAAAGTCAATTTCTCATGAAAATATTTTGTATATGTATCTATTTGCTATGCGTCTGCAAACTACAAGCAACAACCAAACAAAAAATAAGAGAAGACGACGAAGATGCGTGGCATTTTAAACTAGAGCCACAGTTGCGCTTATCTATTTTATTGGCTATTCAAGTCTAACGTGGCTTGAAGCTTGTTGCTGCCCAATCCCTGGTTAAGTGGTTCTCCACGGGGTGTTCGACTGTTGAGTGGCTGCTGATTAGCTGCCTGGCAGGAGGAGACAAAGGCCAAGTTAGGGCCCAGATGAATGTCTTCAATCATTTAATTGTGGGCTTGATTGACATTCATGCGAAAAGTGTACAGCACTTCCTGCTGGCCAAGCATTTGTTCTGGATTAGTTTTAATTAGCCTGGATGAAAGGGTTGTTGCAAATAGCAACAGCAACAGCAACAGCAACAGTAACAACAGTGCTCAAAAGTATAACGATTATCTAGCATATACAATTTACGGGACGTTCCTTAGCTTGAATGCTTTTACCGAGCTGCCAGTCGCAAAGATAAATTAGAGAAATATATTTAATGACTTTTCATGACCAGCAAATGTCAACAAACAGAACATTTACAGACCAGTCACAACAACAACAACGACAATGATAACAAAACTATGTGAATGGTGGATTGTTTATCTAAACTGTAGGACCCTCCTCTAAGCTGCTGCTGCTGTTGCCTGCAGTGCGCGGTAGGTGTGAAAATTGTTGATTAATGTTTGCTTTTTGAATTGTCACTGCTAAAACTGCATATTCAAAAGTAAAGTAAATTGTTTTCATAATTTTCAAATGGTTATTTTGAGAAATATATAAATAAATTTAATATTTCTTTGTGAATTGTTAAAAATTTATTTAAATATTTCTTTGAAATAATTCATTTGTTCAAAGTTTGGAAAACTAAATTTATTTTTAGCTTTTTGATAATTTTTATATTAATTAACATTTGAATAGTATTGTAAGTGACGAAAATGACTCAGACAAATATATTATACTAATATAATATTTTATAAGAAATTCTAACTTGTATCAAAAGGCAATTGAAGAAAATTTGCAATTAAAGATCTTAGACAAAGTGTTTTAAACTCTTTTAGGAATGCGGTTACAACAAACGTATATATTTTAAAAAATTAAATAAATAGTTATTTATATATTTTTATTTTAACA